TGTTGCACACCTGCAGTGTTCTGAAATTACAGAGCTGCAGCATCAATTGGTATTCTTTTATTTCACCATCTTGCTGGGTTTGCAGTGCCTTTTCCTTGAGTGCTCGTGGTCTGGCCTCAGGAAATAGGATTTTTGAATATAGCATCCGTTGGGCATCTCATGCCAGAGATGTTTTTGATATATTCTGACATCAAACAGTACTGCAGGTAGCGTTCTGCAAATACTTTCTCAGTATTATTTGGTACCTAAACAAATAATATCTGAGAAGCTGTGTACTTAGGCATTCTGGTGGAGGAAGTGAGTTATTCACAGTGTAGTAAACTACTTAGTTATAGCTAATCATTTCTTTGATAATAGATATACTTTCTTTTTTCAGATGAAGATAAAAAGAAAACCAAGAAGAAGAAAAAGAAGACTAGAAAGTAAGTTTCCAGGTTGCTGTATGCAATTCTACCTGCTTTTAAGCAGAGGGCAGCACCACTTTCTTAGCAGGCCATGAGGAAGCCTGAGCACTCTTGTAATTAGGGCTATAAATGCTGTGAAATAATCTTAATTTGATGGATTTGCTTTAAATCTACAGAACCACGCAGCATAAAGGACTGTGAACATAGGGAGCTTGAGTATGAACCCAAGCACTTTCTTTCATCTTAAATTTTGGTAAATAGCATGTCTGTGACCTTATTGCAGGAAGAAGTATAAGAAAAAGAAAAATAAGAAGAGCAGGAAGGAATCCAGTGATTCAAGTAGTGAAGATTCTGATGACGAAACATTTCAAGGGGAAGATCTTTGGATTGAGAGATCAAGTAGGTTCCCCTGACTTTAAACTTGGATTGAAACTTCTTGGTGTCCTTTTCGTGAATTCTTTGTTAGTTGTTACTGACTTGTGTAACCGATCTGATAACAAAGAACAATGGGCACAATATTAATCTTCCTCACTGTTTGATTGCTGCAGAAAATACAGAAGCTGATAGCTTGATTGGACCAGAAGCTCCCAAAACTCATGCATCTCAGGATGATAGGCCTTTGAAGTGAGTAGCCAGCTCTAACGGTACTTTCATCAAATCAAGTAAATCAAGCCTCAAAGTTACTGTTCAAAAGGGCTGTTACAACATTATGGCCTGCATCAGGGAGAAATGCTGTGCTAGGGGCCCAGACAGACGTGGTAGTGGTGCTAGCCTTTACCCTGGACTGAATTTAGGTAGAAGAGTCTAGTTTATGCTATTTACCCTTGATTCCTAGAAAATCAGTTGTAAGATGCCTTTATTCTAATGCTCTGCAGTATTGTGACTTTATAGTGTCTTCATTACTGTTTAATCAGAATGGATTTAACTGGTAATTTAAGATGTTGCTGATGTTAGCCATAAGGAAGAAACAGACCAATATGTGAGAAAGAATAAGAAAGTCATTAAAAATGCAGCTGTAGCAAGTAGTGAACAGGGAAGCTGGATGTTTAGCTCAGGCTCTCTCTATTTGAGACTGATACAAATCACTGCTTTTTTTATTTTATTAAGCTATGGACATGCCCTCTTGCCTGGTGAAGGTGCAGCAATGGCAGAGTATGTAAAAGCAGGAAAGCGCATACCCCGGAGAGGTGAAATTGGCTTGACCAGTGAAGAGATCGCATCATTTGAGAGCTCTGGTTATGTCATGAGTGGCAGCAGGTATGGGTTTGATGGTAGTAATGGTTCAGTGAAATTTTCAAGAGCTGCTTCCTCTGTTGGCTGGTTGGAAGACAGCTTCCAGGCTCTAGTTGAAAGCATGGAAGAGAGGGTGCTCTGTGTGCCTGCAATAAACTACACTAAACTCCCTGTTGCTATAGATAGGTGGTGAGTTTTTTAAGGACACTTTCTCCTCAAGAGTAAAAATTCTTTCCAGGTAATATGCTTCTAATGATACTGTACTTCAAATGAGGAGATGCTTGTGTCAGGTGGCTCAGAGGTGGTGCGTTTAGACAGCAGTGGTGATGGGCTGGCTCTTCTGGAGGAGACAAATCAAAGTGTAAGAGGTTGGATGCACTTTTTTCTCTGAGACCAACAGGAATTTCACTTAACTTTTGGTGAGCCAGCATCTGACACCCTGGGGGCAGGTGGGGCTTCTGGCTGACTGCCTGAGAGCAGACACCCCAGGAGTCAGTTTCTTGCTCTACCATGCTCCTTCCTGGGAAGGTACATGTGCAGTTTGGATTCTCCAGTGTAGATATCTTTCTTTATAAGCCCCTCAAAACATGCAGGCCAGCTGATGATAGGAAGCTGTGGCGGGGCATTGCATCCCTCTGCCTGTGCTGATGTGCACACTGTTGTCCTCCACAGACATCGGCGAATGGAAGCTGTGCGTCTGCGTAAAGAGAACCAGATCTACAGTGCAGATGAAAAGAGAGCTCTGGCATCCTTCAACCAGGAGGAGAGGAGGAAACGAGAGAATAAGATCCTTGCAAGCTTTCGAGAGATGGTCTACAGAAAGACTAAGGGCAAAGAGGAAAAATAATTCTTTCTTTGAACTGTATGCCATAGATTCTACCAAGCAGCAGCTAACCCATTCCAGACATGATTTGAAAAAAGCTGCAAGTGTTGCTGTGCCTTTCACCCAACAGGGCAGAGCCTCAGGAGTGGATTACTTGTATCAAGGAAACAATTACTTTTGTCAGATTTTTTTTCCATGATTTGTTGACCATCTACAAGGAATCCCTGTAAAGTGAAAGGCTACAAGTCAGAGAAGGCAGGAACAGGCGTGGAAGATTAGAGGTGGCAAAGTTCTGCACTTGCTTTGAATCAGACAAGCAGGATGATTCCATGGGAGGGCTTTGTTACCTGATGCTGATAAGTGCGATTTTTCATTTATTTTGATTAATGAGAGTAGACTGGCCATCAGAAGCAAGCTACTAGTAACAGTAGCAAAAATGAAAGAACTCTTAACTTCTTGTTTAAGATCTAAGACTGTCCACTTAGGTATTTTTTCATAAGTCTTTTAGATTTATTTTTGTCTCAAAACAATTGAGTTTGGTTTGTGGTTCAAACTAGACTTGTAACTAGAAGTGAGTTTGTAATTTAGCACAGATGGGCTTCAGTTATTTCAAAGCAGACAGATCACAACTGGGGTATAAAGTAATAGTAATAGGAGGGTCTGATCTTCAATCCACCAAAGCCCATGGTGAAGAATTAAGTTGCTTGCTTCTTTTTCTCCTATGTTATACATAGGTATCAGGGCAGTGGGGTGCAGTGACTGGAACCCCTGGATGTACATAGGTGGTAACAAGGATGTATCTTTCAATTTATTTTAATTTTTTTTTGTCTATGGAAGTGTTCTAGATTAAGATCTTATTTTAACTCCTATGTTGTTTTAATTTGGCCTGTTTCAGCGTATTACGTGGCTCTCTTCAAACTCTGTACTCAGAGGCCTACTTGGGGTAGTGCTTCCGTGGTGGTGATCTTTGATTCAGCTGCACATTTTCAAACAGCTCCCGTAGCCTTCTTTTTCTCAAATGCTTTGAAAACCAAAATGTTTTCTGGAGGGTCTTTTTGTTCCCCTAAATCTCTGTGTTGAAGTTTTGGCAGCAGAGATGTCTTGTATGTTTGTATAAAGAAAATAAAAGTCCTGTAACATTTGCTCTGACGTTCTGCAGACCTGGTGTTCACAAACAGCAAGTCCAGCCCAGCAAGTCCAACCCACCCCTACCTGCAAGGGACTGTCTTATAAAGCCAGCTGCCAGGTCAGGTTGTAGTTGATTTTGCAGAGATTTAATGCTTTTTATGTATCCACAAAGTAGAAATGCTGACAAGGAAGAGCCATTCTTTCTTCATTGTGTTTGATTCTCCACAGAATACCAACAGGTCATTGGACATGGTGAGTTGGAGCTGTTTGTTAGAAAGTAAGTCTTTCCGTGAGGATTATTTTATTTTCAGTTATATCCTTAAGCCACTTTTTTCTAAACTGACACTATTCTGGCCTTGAGGATGGAACAAAAAGAAGGTAAACAGTAGGAATAATATTGAGTCAAATTCACAGGGCAAACCTATCTGCTGGAAAAAAAAGAACACCATGTAGAATGGTGTGAACCCAGGACAAATTCATTATGGGGAAGACAGATGCTCATGGGGTGGCTCTCGGTGCTTGTGGTGGAGTGAAGCTAATGTGATAAGCAGGGTCATTTCATTTAGCATAGCAAGATTTTGACAGCTTCCTCCAAGTCTCTGCTAACACTGAAAACTTATTTACATCAAGTTCACTGTTTGTTTTTGGCATGGAAAAGCTTTCTAGAACCTCCTGAGTTGTGTCAGTAATAACATTTGCCCGTGGATCAGCCTGCTGGACTCCAGAGTGAAGAATACCTCCACAGGCAAGGTCTGCAAGAGAGGGGAGACAGGGCAGAGCTCACATACAGGACCTCAAAAAGCAGACATTTTAATTAGATGAAAGCTACTGTCTGCTTCTTCTAAAACAATCTGTGTATTTGTCAACATTTCTGATGTGGATTAGAATAGTTTTGGTTTAAAGCCTCTGTGAGTATTCTCTTGTGAAGGCAAAGACCCGTGTGTTACAATTTTAAGCTTGTGCTAGGATATAAAATTTCTGGCCTGTGGTTACGAGCTGTTGTGCTGGTTTTGTCTGGGGTAGAGTTCATTTTCTATGTAGTAGCTGCTACAGGGCTGTAGTTTGGGTTTGTGCTGATAACACAGGGGTGTTTTCGTTACTGCTGAACAGTTGTTACGCAGAGCCAAGGCCTTTTCTGCTCCTCACCCCACCCCACCAGCGAGTGGCTGGGAGGGCACAAGAAATTGGGAGGGGGCTCAGCTGGGATAGCTGACCCCAACTGACCCCAGGGATATCCCAGACCATATGGCATCATGCTCAGCAATAACACTAGAGGTAAGGTTGGCAGAGGGGGGCTGCTGCTCAGGGACTGGCTGGGTATTGGTCAGTTGGTGGTGAGAAATTGTTTTCATTTATAACACTTGTCTGTCTTAGTTTTTATTTTTCTCTCTTCTGGTTATTTTTCCCTTTTATTATTTCTTTTTAAAAATTACTACATTTTTTATCTCAACCAATGAGTTTTCTCATTTTTTACACTTCCAGTTCTCTCCCCCATTCCACTGGGGTGGAGGGGTGTGGAGTCAGAGTGAGTGACCAGCTGTGTGGTGCTTAGTTGCCAGCTGGGGTTAAACCATGACATCTGTGCACTGCTACTTGGGGATCCATAGCCAGTAGGTAGAAAAGATAACGTTTGGTATGACTAAGCGTAGGTTCTGGAGATCTTTAAATGTAAGCGCTTGCGTCAAAGGAAAAGAGCATGTTATTGTTGTATGCTGTTGTTTCCATATCAGGGGATGTGAAATATTTCTGGCAGTGCATTACAAATACACTGGCGTGGTCCTCTGTGCTCCGTGCTGGTGAGTAGTGCTATTTGCTCTTAGAGGGATCTCATCCTCAACTTCTTGTTTCTTCAGTAGTGGTTGACTATCAACTGTACTTAAATATCCTGAAGATCCAAGGGGACAGAGATCCCCAAATAGCTATATCATTATTTATGGTGTTAAAAATAGCAGAGTCCTTGTTTAATGTCCGCTAGCTGTACCAAATCATGAGAAGTCATCGTGTTCACTGAGGTGCTGGCAGGATGAGGGCTCAAGTTTTATTTTGGAAGAACTATTTCTGATTTAAAAAAAAAAAAAAAATAGAAGCCGTATGTTTGAAAGAAGCCATATATTTGTGGGGAGTAAGTGCCATAGTCTCCATTTAGGGCTAATCCGTTTGACACAGGTGGCATGTTCCAGGCTAATCAGAGGCTGTAGATATTTGTGCCGCTCTTCAGCTCCCTGCTGTAGTCTTTCTCCCGGCGATGTGCTGAAGCGAACCTGCGACCTGCTCCAGGGTCCCTTCGTGGCGCTTTTGGCAGCCTGCAAGAGGGCACGGTGCGATTCTCGGGTTGCATCCGCGTCCCTGCTGTAGGCAGCGTTTCGCTTTGACACCGGGTGACCTGGCGTGGGTTGGCTCTCGCGTGGGTCAGCAGAGCGGTTTGCCTGGTGCTGGCTCTGCGCGGAGCCCCTCGCACCCTCGCGGCGCTGCTCCCCACGACTGCGCACCGGTCGGGAGCTCATGTATTCCCTCTTGGCCAAGGGGATGGAGAATGTGCTCAGGGAGTGCTCTGTGCTGCCTCAGCCAGCTCTCTGTTCCCGATGAGGTGAGAGATTCTCGTGCTTCTTCAGTAAATGTGCTGGGCAGCACTGGGAAGGTTTCAGTCCTGCCCCTGTTACGGGTTTTTATGCAAATGCACGAGTATTGATAACCTCTGTTTTGCATCCATGAGCACAACCGTTATTTCCAGATACAGGTTATGGGCTTGCCCTTGCCAGGTTGTCATATAGACAGTATAAAATGGAAACCTCCCGACGGAGGCATTTTTGATTAAATGTAGACTAATACTTTCAGGCTTGCAGACTTGTCATGTGGTTTAGGAAAGATTGTAGTTGGAGCTCCTGCCGTGGACTGAAGATCCCAGTCTCTGTTTTCAGGCCTGGCAGTGAAGGATTAGTCTGAATCCCAGTATATGTTTTCAGGGTAATCATAGAATCATTTAGATTGGAAAAGACCTTTAAGATCATAGAGTTTAACCATAAACCTAGCACTGCTGAGTCCACCACTAAACCATGTCCCCAGGTGCCATATCTACATATCTTTGAAATACCTCCAGGGATGGTGACTCAACCACTTCCCTATGTCAAGACTGTGTTTGCCTCAACGGACATCTGTCTCAACATTGTTGGAACATTACACCTCAGCAACTGTCCGACCACACAACCACACTTTTCCTGATAATGGAACAGAAATTCCCTCACCCTTGCACACCCTTCCAGCAACAGGCTGGAAGCTCCCTTAGTGACAGTGTTGGGCATGCGCACCACCATGGAGTGGTGGGTGAGGTTAAAAAACAGTTCTTAGAATATGCTAATCAATTTTCAGGAAGAGCAACGACACCTCAATAAAAGAACAGTGACGACCAGCATCAAATGGAATTCCCCACCTGATGTGAAGTCGGTTCAGACTGACAGGATACCGCAGCTCCATGGTGGTAACTATTGCACCCTTACTTTCCTTTTTTTCCTTCTCTCTTTCTTGCATCTATGCAAATGTTTATGTAACTATTAAACTTGTTTTCTCTATTCTATCTGACTTCATTTATTTCTTAATCTCACTCTGTGAATACCAACAGATCTCCCCAGACCAGACCTTTTCTGGTCGAGACACCTGGGCAGCCTGTTCCAATGTTTGCCAACCCTTTTGGGCTTAATGTGTCCAAGGAGAATTCTCTCATAAAATGAGTGATATGTGAAGCATTAAATGTGTACATAAAATTAAATCTGCAACTGAAATGACAATGTGCATAAAGCAACAGGCATTAAGGCAGAAAGTACAGGATGAGAAACACTGGTGTATTGGGTTTGCATGGCGAGGTTTTGGTCGTGGGGGCTATAGGCATGGCTTCTGTGTGGGGGAGGAAGCCACGCTGGAGCAGGTGTCTGCATCCAAAGGAGGCTGTGACCCTGTGGGAAGCCCACGCTGGAGCAGGCTCCTGGCAGGACCTGCGGTCACGTGGAGAAAGGAGCCCACTCTGGAGCAGTCTGCACCTGAAGGATGCATCCTGTGGGAGGGACCCACGCCAGGGCAGTCTGTGAAGAGCTGCAGCCCTTGGGAAGGACACACACTGGAGAAATTCATGGATGACTGTCTCCGGTGGGAGGGCCCCCATGCTGGAGCAGGGGAAGAGTGTGTGGAGTCCTCCCCTGAGGAGGAAGGAGCAGCAGAGACATCTGATGAACTGACCACAACCCCCATTCCCCGCCCCCCCTGTGGGGATGGAGGTAGAGAAATCAGGAGTGAAGTTGAGCCTGGGAAGAAGGGAGAGGTGTGGGAAGGTGTGTTAAGATTTAGTTTTTATTGCTCATTATCCTACTCTGATTTGATTGGCAATACATTAATTTCCCAGAGTCAGGCCTGTTTTGCCTGTGATGCTAATTGCTGAACGACCTCTCCCTGTCATTCTCTCAGCCCACAAGCTTTTTGTTATATTTTCTCTCTCCTGTAGGCAACTGATTGTGTGGCTTGGTAAGCACCTCACCTCCAGGCAGGATCAATCCAACACAGATACAAGGGTTGAATACATGCATATCTTTATTAATGAGTTAAATCATTTTATGTAGATATGTGCATTCTTCAAAATGCCACCACCTTAGTCTATGTTCTCCAGACCCTGAAAAAGAAAAAGTAACAGCTGTATCTGTGCTATTTTTGTTATTAACTTGCAAGAGGGCATAGCTGAAAATGCAAGGAGGAGCCCACGCTGGAGCAGGTTTGCTGGCAGGACTTGTGACCCCACAGGGGACCCACACTGGAGCAGTCTGCACCTGCAGGATGCACCCTGTGCGAGTGACCCATGCTGGAGCAGCTTGTGTAGAACTACAGCCCAGGAGAAGGACACACACTGGAGAAATTCATAGTTTTCAAACTATGCTTAAATAGCCAAGTCCTAACTAAAACAAACAAACAAACAAACACAACAAAAACAAACAAACGCAACAAAAACGCAACAAAAACAAACAAACAAAAAGAACAACATCATGAAACACACATCCCCACAGGCAGGCCAGCTGCAGGTAGCAAGAGAGCTCCACCAGCCCCAAGAGTGACCAGTGGCCGCCCCAAAGGCTGTGGGAACCCCTAGCCCAGAGTTTGGGGCTGAGGGGAGCAGCGCCTGGCTCCCGCTTCCCTCCCAGCACTACCTGCCCCCTGGCCCGGGCACCTGCCTTGGAAACGTAGTACTTGTTGACACCCGACAGCCGCCTGTCTCTCTCCATCAGAGTCCACTGGTAGGGGTAGCGGGCGATCCTCTTCTCCTGCGGGCACGCACGGCGCTGCCTGTTACGGTCCCCGGGGCACGGATCCCCGGGGGAAGGGGAGGAAAGGGGGGTCCCGGGGGTGTGGGTGGGCGCAGGCAGCCCGGTGGCCCCGCCCCGCGCTGACCTTGCCGCCGTTGCTCCAGCGGTGCATGTACAAGGTGGAGAAGCCGGGGATGCTGAGGCAGATGCCCATGATGGCCATGCCGGGCAGGATCTCGTACCACATCTCGCCGGTGCCGCGCTGCGCCGCCCCGCACCGCCGCCCCGGGGATCCCTGCGGGCACTCCCGGCCTCCCCCGCGCGCCCTCCCGGCCTGCCCCGCGCCGCCGGTACCGAGGCGTGGCCCGGGAGGGGAGAGGGGCGGCAGGGACAACGCTGCTGAGCCACCGCGCCTCGGTAGTACCGGGGGAAGGACATGAAGCCGTCGGCCGCACCCCGGCCTGCCCAGCTGCGGCCTCAGCCCCGGCGGCTGGCCGTGCCGGGATCGCCGGAGCCCCGCCCGGGGCATGCCGGGATCCGTAGTCCGGAGGGGCCCGGGGCATGCCGGGAGCCGTAGTCCAGAGGGGCCGCGGCGCGGAGGCCTCGGCCGAGGGCGCGGCTCGTGGCCCTTTAAGGCGCAGTCGCGCGAGAGTGCACGGCGGCGCGCGGCGCTGCCCCCCGGCCCCGGGATGAAGGAGGACAAGGAGAACGCCAGGCCCAAGGAGCGGCGCGGGGCCGCCGCCGCACCCGGGGCTCCGCTGGGGACGGGGCCGGCCCCCGCCACCGGCGGCGGCACGGACGGTAGGGCCGAGCTCGACCGCCTGGAGCGGCCCAAGGACAAGAAGGAGACGCTCAGCAAGGTGGGGCCTGCGCGCTGCGGGGCGCCGGCCCCTCCCACCCGCGGTAACGGGCCCGAGGCTGTTGCGGGGGGAGCTGGGGCCGCACCGGGGCGGCTGGGGGGCGGGCGGGCGGCAGGGGTGGCTTCTCCCCCTGGGCCGCCCTGAGCGCCGTCGCCCCGCTGCAGGTGGTGATCCGAAGGCTGCCGCCCAGCCTGACGAAGGAGCAGCTGGAGGAGCACCTCCAGCCCCTGCCCGAGCACGACTACTTCGAGTTCTTCGCCAACGACTCCAGGTAGGGCCGCCGGCCCCTTCCCCGGGAGCCTACCCAGAGCGGCCGCAGTCGCCGGCCGGGCCCCGGCAGGCGCTGCCGCCTCCTCAGCCTTCCCCTCCGGGTCCTGTGTTTCCGCAGCTTGTACCCTCACATGTTCTCGAGAGCCTACATCAACTTTAAAAACCAGGAAGACATAGTCCTCTTCAGGGATCGCTTTGACGGCTATGTTTTTGTTGATCACAAAGGCAAGTGGCACATGATGGTACGGTTGCATCTTTTCTGGGGCGCGTGGAGGGTGCTAGCTGAGTTTTAGAGGGATGGGTGTGAGCCGCCTGATGTACCACTTCTGATTGATTTGGTTTTATTGCCTTAAATAAGTGTCAGGCAGTCTTTCAAAGAGCAGAGGACATGTATTATGCTTTGTGGAAACCAATCTAAATTCATTTTGTGTATTTCTAAATTTATCTTGTTTGTTATGTGTAAAACCCGGTTAAGTGTACATCAAGGTAATAGTGGTATGAATATAAAACTAGTTGCTGTGTTGCTGAGGTTAGGACTTGCATTGTCATACGTGAGTATAAAGCCCAGAAAGTGGAAGTGGGTAGATGGTGTCGCTGTCCAAACAAAAAGAATCTCAGTTACTGATGCCACCCTCTGCTACTCCCCTCATCCATTCTGTACGCTTCTAACAGTGTGACTTATTTTTTGGTCAGTTTTATTTCAGATTATTACTTGTTCTAACTTACAACTGAGTGAGCCATCTTGGTTCAGTAAAAGGAACAGCTTGTTCCTTGTCTAAGTTAAGAAAGTGACTGCTCTCTGGAGACATTAATCTGTAGGAAACAAACATCCAAGTATTTAGTCACCGCTTATCTCTTCTAAATACATATTAGGTATTCAGTGCATCTCATGTTTTCAAACTTTGCATTTCAAAACTGTTTACATTGCGTAGCACTAAAAGTTGCTAGTCTCTCATGGATAGACCTTAAATTTACATATTTACAAAAAGCTTTAACAAGAGCCTTCCTGTTGGTTTCAGTAGGCTAAAGATTTCTCCTTGAACTTTGTTTTAAATACACAGACTTTACATTTTGTCCAGCCAGGTGTTTTATGTGACATAAAGCTCTGTCCACAGCATTCTTTCTTATTTAGGAGGGTTGCATGACAAGGTTCTAATAACACCTAGATCTTTTAAATATGCCAGTTTGTAGTGTAACGGCATGCTGTATTTGCCATACCCAACTGCAGTATTGGATTTATGCTGCCATAAATGTAGCATTCTTGTCAGAAGGTAAAACTTTAAAGCCTGCCTGTCGTGTTGCATTCTGTTGTATTTTGCCAAAAACTGAGATTTGCCTCAGCTGTATTAACTTAAAATATTATCTTCGACTTGCACTATGAATACATAGTCTGTAGGATGAGGATATTGTGTGGTGCGGTGGCTGAACTGACGGTTACGGGCAGTCTTAAACCTAATATTTCCTTCTTGTTGCGAGTTTGTGAATTTGCTGTTGTGTTAACATAGTGAGAGTGTTTAGTTCATTAATTCTGTCGTGTCTAAAATGTTTGGGGTTTTTTTTTTAATTAAATGAATTTAAAAATAAAATATTTTTTTGTGCTGTCCAAGTTGTCTCTTCTAGTACTTCATATGTCTTGTGAGGCTTATCTTCCTGCTTTAGACATGGACAATATTTTATATGTGTTTCATTTTTATTATAATTTTATATGTGTTTCACTTCTGTTTTATTGAGTTTTTTCTTCTCCTCTTAACAGGTCAGGAATATGCTGCCATAGTTGAGTTTGCACCTTTCCAAAAAGCTGCAAAAAAGAAGAGTAAGAAAAAGGATGCCAAAACTGGAACTATTGAAGATGGTATAACAGTTAGCTAGTTTGTTTTGCATGTGTGGACTTGAAAGTCCTAGCAGTAATTTGAATATGTTTCTACCGTGACACTGTAGTTTATCAACAGAATGTTGGCTTAGTTATATGTGAAGCTTATTAGCACTGCTTTGCCAGCTGCAAATCTATTAAATATGATTGTCCTAGATAAACAGTGCAGCAGCTCATTTGAGAGCTGCCAGCTTATGAAAAGGTGACACATAAACAACACAATTTATGCAAATCTAACCCAGACTTCTAGCAGTGCTCAATGCAAATTCTTTCCATGCCACACTATATTTTTTTCATTTTTTTTTTCATTTTTTTCCCCCCTTCCCCTCCCATGTAGATCCAGAATACAAGAAGTTTTTGGAAAGTTACAGTGCAGATGATGAAAAATTAACCTCCACTCCTGAAACTTTGTTGGAGGAAATAGAGGCAAGAAACAAAGAGTTAATAGGTATGGAAATCCATGTACTATAGTTACATTTTCCTAAAGCACAAAGAAATGTATGTGGTATAATTTGAAGCTCTGATTTGTCAACCTTGAGGGGATTGAATTCTTTTGTGTGCTTGCTTGGTATTTGTTAAACCTTTAGGCTAATATTATTCAGTATATTTTATTTTGTTCCCATGCTCTAAATTATTCTCTAGGTTTAAGTTTTGTAAGATAACCTTCCTTCCTATTTTAAGCTGCTCGTCAGATGTTTGTTAGCCAGACTAGGCTAGGGAGTGGCTGCATTTCTGTGAGATGCAGTGATGTTTAATGCAGAATGCTGTGAGCGGTGATGTTCCGTGCAGGCACAAGTTAAGAGATATTGTTGTTGGGTAGAATGCCACAAAAATGACCAGAATGCTCTTTTTAAGCATGTTACAGATATCTCTTTCAAAGCAAGAAAATCTGGGAAAAGCCTAATGCAGACTATATATACCTTTACAGATAGGTGTACTGAATATCATGTTAGCACCCTAAAGAAGTTTATGGAATCCTAATAGTTGTCACTGTTCAGGGATAAGATTGAAATACTTCTTTCACTGCTGTATTGCTGTGTGTGAGGGGAGATGGGCTGGATATCCATAACACTTCTTCATTTCATATAGGGGTTTGTTGTAGGTATTGTGGCATTGGTTAAGGCAAATTGTTTACATTTGTTTCATATATTCCCTAGCTAAAAAGACTACTCCTTTATTGAACTTCTTGAAAAATAAACAGGTAAGACTTACCTCCAGAATCTTCTTGTTCCTTGCAAGTACAATTTGCTTCATTTAAAGCCTGGGTGTGTATATTGCAATGTATATAGTGATAAGTTTTCACCCTTCCTTTTGAAGAAGCTTTTGACTCAACTTCCTTGTTAACATCTGGTTCATGTATTTTAAACTACTAGAACGCTGGCTGTTGTAGGAATGTTGGTGGTTTGTGTGCATTCTAGTCATAGCTGAACAACTCCTGTGGCACTGCCGAACCAGACTTCACTTTAATGTTTTAATTTTTAATGCAGTTACAGCTGAGGTTGTTGTAGGTGATCTTTCTGTGAGCGCATCATCTCATTTTAACTTTTAGCAATGGAGAAAATCACACATGGGGCAGATTTAGTTAAAATTAGAATGATAAATGCTGAGACTAGTATTGTGCTTCTTTTTTTAAGACACTACTGTAACATGTTCAGGTTCACAACAGAACAACAGAGATGACAGGACGTTTTTTGGGGTTTTTTTTCCTTCTATAGTAGGGGCAGTTCTGAAGTGAGTTATTTGGTGAAGAAAAACTTTATCACTGTGTGGTAGGGTATCTTGTTAGGCTTAAAGGGATGTTTTATAGTGTGGAAATACGCTACTTCTCTTTGCTTTTACACACACAGAGACTGAGAGAAGAAAAAAGAGAGGAGAGGAGGAGGAGAGAATTGGAAAGAAAAAGACAAAGAGAAGAAGAAAGAAGAAAATGGAAAGAGGAGGAGAGAAGGAAGAGAAAAGAAGCAGAAAAACTGAAGAAAGTAGACAGATGCCCAGAAAAAGAAAGAGACAGATCAAAAGAAGAACCAAAGATTAAGGTCTAGAACAGTTCTTTATTATAAACTGTTACACTCCCTTTCCCCTATTATCTGTATATCAGTCTCTCCAAATGTGCTTTGAGTATTGTGTGAAGAATCACATGAGTTTGGTGTTAGTAAATGACCACTTTTTTGTAATATTCAATATTAGGCATTGTAAAGGTTTACATGCTGTAATGCTTCATAGTAATATTTAAAGCTTTTGTCATGTGACTGTTGTACATGCTGTGGTAAACAGAATTGTGAATTCACTATGGAATGGAGACTATTTTTAAGCTTTCTAAAATGGCCTGTTTTAGGAGAAAAATCCTAGTCTGCTGTGTGGATTATGCTTACTCATACACTCCAGCTTTCAGAAATACTACAATTTGCAGTAATATCACTTTAATTTTTATTTCTTACTGGACTATGGTTCCTTTGATGCAATTTCGGTGTTGTGCCAGACAATATGTATTAGAGTGAGCTTTTTAGTTGAGACTTCTGTTTTCTTTGTAGCTACTTAAGAAGCCTGAAAAAGATGAAAAAGACTTGGAGAAAAAAGAAAAATCCAAGAAACTGGAAAAAGAGACTCTGAGGGAGGAAAAAAATGCGAGTAGTGCATCTGCCAAACGATCTGATGGGGAGACAAAAGAAGAGAAGGCAAAAAAGTATTCTAGTACTTGCTATAAATATATATATGTATATATAACTTGTTTCCTGATCGTCCTGAGGCTTAGACTGCTCTGCCATGACCATGTTTTGAAATTCTTTTCAAATTATTTTTCTGATATAAAGCATGGGATGTGTTCTCAGTGGCAGTGCATATCCCTGTGATTACAGAAGGCTGTGTGAATTACCTGACAGTTCTTCACTAGTGGACAAATTTTAATGTTTTTGCAACTCACTGTAGGAACTCTGCAAAAGAAGCCCAGGTGTAGGCGACCGGCAGCAGGCTGTGAGCACTGTCCTTGCAATGAGATAATTACAACCATGACAAGAGGAGAGGTGTACTTCAGTTACTAGTCCCTTTCAGTCTTGTAAAAGGTCAAAGTGGAAAATACAATTCTCAACTGGTCTGTGATTGTTCAAGGTTCAGTTCTGCCATGTGAGAAATAGCAATGAGACAGAGAAATTCGGGTGTTTTCCAAAGCCAGAGGAGGCTCAGCCAGCTATGGCAGTAGAAGGCCACAAAATGCTAGTAGTCAGTGTCATTTCTGGTTATCATGCATGACTCAGGTTATTACAGCTCCCCAAAAGCTCCCTAGAACCTACCAGTGTGTCGTCTTCATATTGCAAATTTACACCAGTATTACATTGATCTCCCAGCTCTGTTTGATGAATCTTTTGAGCTTAATTTTCAGTTTTGTTTTCATACAGATCAGAAGATGAGTATGTAAAGGACTACAGGGACCGAGATAGAGATTTTGAAAGAGACAGAGAATATGAGAGAGCACAGAGGGAGAAACTGAGACGCCAAGAAGAGGAGCGTCGGAGGCAGAAAGAGCGCTTTGAGAAAGAGAAGGTTTTTAGAAGAAAAGAGGAAGAGGTGAAAAAGGAGAGAGACTTACTCAGAGAAAAGGGAAAGAAAAGTGATCTTACAGACTTTACCAGCAGCATGGACAAATCTGAGAAAGTAACCAAAGATGATAAAAAAGATGATACAACTAAGAGGGATCGTATCAGAAACAAGGTGCTGGATTTCTTTAAATTCATATGTTGATTTATAGGGACCAGTTTTGTGGGGTTTAGGACAAAAAGCACTTCAAGGGAAGAACCATGTGGTTTCTCTGTTGAAACTGCCATTGCTATAAAGGTTGCCTGTTTGTCCACTAAACTTTGCTAAACTGTTTTTGATATTTCTTGTCACTGTTTAGGAATTAAGCCAAAATACCATGGGCTAAATTGTAAAGACAGTGATCACTTTTCATTTGCTAATTTATGTGATAGGCTCTGTCTTTAAGGTGTTGGTAGAGCATCAGCAATCTACCTGTATCTCTGCTGATGCTGTACGTGCCTGAAAGTACATCTCAAAGTGGGAGTGTGATTGAACAGATTCCTCTAAAACGGGGACAAGACTGCTACGTGCAGAATATGACAGAAGGTCTCCTGTAGACTCAAGAGATAATGTCTTGAGTTTAGTTCTATATACTCTGCAAATCTGATTTTGCAGCATCAGTACGCAAGTTTTCTATGTCACTTAAGGCATTATTGGGTACAAATGAAAGTCAGGGTTTTGAAGAAACTTTGAAGTTGGCCTCTATTCTGAGAGAGGGTGAGCTGAACTCATCTCAAGAGGAAACTTTACAAATAACTTCAGCTACTTGCAGAGTTCTTTGGCTTGAACAGGGATGTTGCCTTACAACAGAGACAACCTTTATTTGAGATAGCTGAAGTTACATTGACACCATGGTGGCAATGTTTAACTTAGAACACCTTGAGTTTTGGTTTTTTTTTTTGAGCCATTTCTACTGTCACTGATGCCATAATAACCATGATAGCGTGGGGCTGTGAAAGAGACTAAATAGTTTTGGTTTATTTCAGGATCGTCCAGCAATGCAGCTGTACCAGCCAGGAGCTCGAAGCCGAAGCAGATTGTGTCAGTATGAAGACAGTGCTGCAAAGCCCACAGATCAGGGGGTGGATAAGAAACAAGAGTGTGAGACCAGTAATATGAAGGAAGAGGAGTGACTAGCATGCAAGCCTTATGTGTTCTGACTGTCTGTGCAGCCAAAGAGCATGTACTACGCAATCCAGAAGTGCCTTCGAAGCGAAGAAGGAACAAAGGAAGAAAAGGGGGCATTGTGCTGTTGGATGTTTCTGGTTAAAGAACCTCAGTTGTAGATTCGGAATTTGAAATGTTTTCTCATTGTATTTTCAGTTATTTGAATTTATTTTCCCAACATCTAACTACAACAGAGAAGAGAATCTTTGCAAAGTAGAAAGACTTTATGGCCTTAAGTATGATAATAAATGAGTCGTGTGGTCAGGAGGAGACGACACCTGGATCTAAAGCCAGAGCTTTACTGAAAAGCGATTGGAGCCACTGTTTGATGCACTTAAGCAGAGCAAACTTGAAGTTGCCCGGAGTTCACGTAGGTGTTGCTGTGTTGTGGGGTGCTCTTACCCGAGGCAGTGATAGCTAAATTATGTCAGTATAGCACTGAGACAGGCACACAGGCTGGGGCTGTTGAGGTACCAGTGAACAGGAGCCCTCTGGCACATAAAGAGGAGAACACCTGGCATTGCAGGAACAATGGTGGGGAGGGAGAGACCTTCCTCTTCAGTGGTTCTCTGGATAAAGTAACTAAGTTGGAGTGTATGAATAAGCTGGCTTAATAGTGGAATACTTCTTGACAAATTCTCATGTAAAATCTACTTGTATTGAAATGCTTGTTTTTAATCAAGTGTAGCTGGTTTGAGCATCCTGTTCTTTTCCAGCATTCTCCCTTCTTTAGTCTGAAATGTTCCCAAACTCCTGCCCTCGGCACTGCTTCATCTTCCCTCATCACTTGAAGTGTTGTTTTACAACCCAGAAAGAGACTTCACCAGTAGCAGCTCCTCCTAAGCTAGCGAATTTTAGCCATAGCTCTTTTGTACTGAAACCAATAAACTCGCAGAAACTCGCGCCGCCGCCGCCGTCCCTCACTGAGCTGCGCCTGCGCCGCGCCGGGGCCGCCGGGCCGCCAGGGGGCGCTGTGGCCGCGGAGCCAGCGCCGCCGCCGCCGCCTTTCTCGCCGCCTCCCCCCCCGCCCCTTCGGCCTCTTCCGCCGCCGCCATCGCCGGGACGCCGGGCAGCGCTGCGCCATGGTGAGACAATCGGCCGCCATCCGCGGCCGTGCCGCGGAACCCCGAGCTCTCTCGCCACCGCCGGCTGTCTTGGGGCTCCTGGCAGGCCGGCCGCGCGGCGGGGCTCCTGGTACAGCTTTCCCTTCCCTGTCCCCGGCTCGCTGAAGCCTGGCGGGGCCTCCCGCCGGCCCGGGCCTGGGGGAGCTGCCCCCCGCCGGCTGCGAGCTGGGGGCTGTCGTGTGGGACTAACGGCTGCTCTCTCTTCCAGTCGTCTCACAAGACCTTCAAGATCAAACGCTTCCTTGCTAAGAAACAGAAGCAGAACCGGCCTATCCCGCAGTGGATTCGCATGAAAACGGGCAATAAGATCAGGTAATGAGATCGGCTGTTGCTTTCCGAGGAGCTGCAGCCCCACAGGCTCTAAATCGGGCTGCTGCTGCGATATGGGCTGCAGTCAGGAGCTGATTGCGTAAAAGCGTGTATGCAAGCAAAAGTGCAATTTAGCGGCCGTGAGAACCTGCACACTGGTGCAGGGACCAAATTCCACCGCATCCTGGCGGCCCGTTGGGGTTTTTTGAGGCACTGTAAGGCTTCCAGGCCATTTCCTTCTGTAGCAGTTCCGTTCATTCCAATGCCCTGCAAGTATCCACAGATGCTGGGTGATGGCACGTTGAAACTGAAAGAGTGAAATGTACGTGTGGATAACTTACTCCAGAATTTTTACCCTCTCTGATTTGACGTTCCCCTTCCCAACACCTTTCCTCTCAGCTGTCCCTCTGGGTTCCTAAGTTTTTAAGGAACAGCACCTTACTGAGCGTGGGTGTTATGAGATACTGAAGATTTTGCATAAGGGAGCAGAGGGCTCTTTGGGTGTACGTGAGATAAACTGGACAGTGTAAGATTCTTGGCACGTGACTGCAGAATTAATTTGCAGCAGTTCCTTTTTCTTTGCTTATAGTGTTTATTTTCAAGCACTGGATTTAGGAAAATGCAATGACACTCCTGCAGAATACTGGGCAGGTGTGAGGGCTGCAGAAGATGGTGCATATCTGAGCACTGTGGTTTAAAAGCTTCAACCAGTATAGTTCAATCACTGGTGCCGTGCAGCTAGCTTTTTATCTCATATGCTCCCCAGCCCCAGCTTTTTTAAGGGAGCAGGATTCTTCCTCCCAGATTGGTTTTTGTCCTAAGTAGTGAGGAAAGTAACAGTAGCAGTGGCTGGCTCAGGCAGTAAAATGGTCCTGTTCATTCTAACTTGTCTGTTTTTAGGAAAAGTCAGTGTTGTGTGCCCCAGACTGTAATCTTGTCTTCCAAATACTGACTTACAGAGGGGTTCTGGTTTAGTTAAATTGCAGTACTTTGGAATATTTTATCATTAGGCAACATCATGAATTTTTGTCCTGTGGAACTTCAGCACTTGGGTGATCAGTTTTATCCAAACTGTGTGCTAAAGCAGGCTGCAATTACAGTGCTTCATTCTGTGGGAGTACTGCCATTTTCCTGCTGAGAGTAACTCTGTTAACACTGTCTTCGGTTTTGCCTATGTGGTGGTGGAACCATTTGGTCTTAACATATACAAGTACATACACGTAAAAGAATATACTTTCCTGGAAGAGGCTCTGTTCTATATGCTGCTCTATTTCCAAATTTTGAACAAAAATTACACTTTCTGTGTTAGACTATGAACTACATTCAGTAGGTAGTTTTCATTATCATTGGGCAATCAGTAAAAGAGCCCAGGTGCTACCAAAAGAGGAGGTAGGGTATTCACAGGTCAATGCTAATGCATCTCTGCAGGCATCTTTATCTCTCTGAGCCTTAGATTCTGTTACAGTAATGTGCTAGTTGGTTAGTGAATGAAGAAAATAAAACGGATGGAAATTTTTAAAAAGTGCACAGCTGATTATTGTTAGCAGCTTGCCACTATAACAGGTAAGAAAGATTTCAGTCCTTTACTGTTGAGCTAATTCAAGGCGGTTTCAGTCTGCCTGGATCCTCAAATGTGTGTGCATGCTTTGCTAATGTACACTGCTTCTGTCTTAGGTACAACTCCAAAAGGAGACACTGGAGAAGGACCAAACTGGGCTTGTAAGAGAGACACTCTCCTGGGAACTCTAATAACACTTGTCTTTCTGCGTCAGATTGATCCACCCCATATGCTGTTCGACGACTCCCAAGTTATTCCTTCTGTGGTGTTGGACTGCAATCCCCAGTGTTGGGGGGGGGTTTAATAAGCTAGTTTGGGTCATTATTGTTATCTGGGAAAATCTTGAAGTAATTTGCATCTGAAACATGAAGACTGTGTTCTATTAGTGTTCTTTTTTTCAGGCATTATGATGAGTATTGACAGTGTACAGGCTTACTAATAAATATGGACCTGAATGACGTGGTTGAAATTATTTCATACGTAGATACAGATATATATATTTATATGGTGAGATAGTAACAGAGAACAAAAACTAACCTTACTGTGACTATAATCTCACTTAGTGTGAGAAACCTTGTCAGCTCTTTTCAGATAGAGTAGGCTGTGTCTTCCTTTTCACTTGTAAACATCTGAGAGCAAAGCATACTGCCTTTTAAATAAAAGGGGGGAAAATCAGAACTGATTGTAGAGGAGTTAATTGGAAGAAAATCTTTTATTAGACAAACTGAAATAGCTTAAAAAAAGTCTTTTAGAGGCAGGTTTGAAAAAGGCAGACTTCAACTTAGGATCCATGGCTACAGTATGTTTTGAGTGTCAGCCTCTTATTACTTAACCCCAGGGTCATTACTTAACCAAAACTACCGTTTTGGTAGATTTAATAAATATTACCAAGAAAAATAAGCGGCATTGTTAGAATTGGATAAAGATGTATCTGTTTAGCTGCTGTGAGCATTCTGTAGGGCTGGAAAGCAAAGCACACTGAAAATGCTCCTCTGGGGTTAGGTGGCTTCCAGATGAAGATGTGCTGCAGTAGGTGAGGGGGTTCCAAACTAACAAAACCGTTCACTAAACCAAGTCATTCTCCAGTTTTCACCCTCTCTTACATTATGCTTACACATTGGATGCTTGTATGTTCCCTATGGCTGGCTTCTGTCACAGCTGCAGGTTCTCTACTCCACCATTATTCCCCACATGACCCTTTTGAACATCCAGAGTGGACCATGCAGTACAGTGTAGCTAGGCCTGAGGGTCGGTCAGATAACTTTTATGAGTGGACAAGCACGTCTGAACTGCAAGCGTTGAACAGCGTGAACAATGGCACTACAGCACTGGGCAAATGCTGAAACGTTACATGCCAAGAAGCACTATAAAAATACTTGTCTAGGGAGCGAGAATGCAGAGCTGAGAATAATCAGTGATACTTGAACACCAAGACTGCCTGAGCAGCTAACCAGCAAGGGTGCCCTGAACACCCACCTGTGTTAGCTGCGGGTGGCTCCCCCTGAGCCTCCTGCCCATGGTCAGCTCCGGGGGGCAGCTTCTGGCCCCTGTGCCTGCAGCATCAGGAGCTGCTCTCAGGTAGGACATGGGGCAGGGCAGCCCCTGGAGCCTGAGGTTAAGATCCTGGCTGGGGAGTGGTGGAATAATAGGATGAAAGAAAGTTTCATGTTAGGAGGGAGGAAAGGGAAGAATACAGCATGGGCACTGGGTAGATTTATCATCTACAAAATGCAATACTCTGTAGTACATGATGTCTGCATGTTTCCTAGAACATGTAATAACCTTCTGAGCTTTGGAGCTCTCTCGGCTTCACCAGGTTGATCTTGATGCCAGCCTCAGGTGCAGCTTAATTTGAAACATTCTCGCAGAAGGGCGGTAACTCAAGATTTTGCCCAGAGGACAAGTTAGCAGCTATTTAAAAAAAGGGAGAGGAAAGAAGGGATTAAACTGCTCAGAGTAGTCAGCATTCCAGGTCCCAGATGCTGGCATTCTCCACTGGGGCCTGGGAAACATCACCTATTTATTGCAGGGAAGTGGAGGAGGCAGCTGTGGCTCAGCACCAAGTCTTGCAGCTGCTGCTCCTTTCCCTTCTGCAGTGCAGACCTGGGATGGTGCTCTTGTTCAGCGGGAAAGAACTGAAGGTGTGAGCCTGTTCTTGGATGTGGCTGTGGCAAAGCCCAGCCTGACACTGAAAGTTGCAAAGTGCTTTGGGTGATGTTTTCTGGGTTCAGCCTGCAGTGGTGGCTCAGGTCCTGGGTGGCAGCTTCCTGAGGAAGCTTCAGGCCGCCACACTTGTGTTGCTGCTTTTCATCTTGAAAGTAAATAGATTTATCTCCTTCCCATTACAGTTTGTGGTAGAAAATGCTGGGCAGCAGCATATGTCAAGCATGTGTAAATGCATAACTATTGGGTTTGCATGGCAAGGTTTCAATAGTGGGGGATCTACAGGGGTGGCTTCTGTGAGAAGATGCCAGAAGCTTCCCCCGTGTCTGATAGAGCCAACGCCAGCCGGCTCCAAGATGGACCCACTGCTGGCCAAGGCTGAGCCCACCAGTGACGGTGGTAGCCCCTCTGTGATAACATATTTAAGAAAGGGGAAAAAAGAAAAAAAAAGCAGTGGGAGAGCAATTGCAGCCAGACAGAGCAGCGAGAATATGTGAGAAGCAACTCTGCAGACACCAAGGTCAGTGGAGAAGGAGGAGAAGGAGGTGCTGCAGGTGCTGGAGCAGAGCCTCCCCACAGCCCGTGGTGAGGGGGCAGGCTGTGCCCCTGCAGCCCGGGGAGGTTAACGGTGGAGCAGATGCCCACCTGCAGCCCTTGGGGGACCCCAAATCAGAACGGGTGTACCCTGACAGAGGCCGGGACCTCATGGGCAGCCTCCCTCAGAGCTCATGACAGTCTGTCCCTCCTAAGGTGTGTTAGAGGTTTCTATGAGCACAGGAGAGCAAGGCTGGTATTTTTACCAACTTCAGGATACTTCAGAGGTATCTTCTAGCTTCTTTTCCTATCTGGTAAGAGTCTGGTTTCTACTTCGTTATCAGAGGGAAGCAGTAAGTTACTGCAACAGGAAAGCAGCAAACAGCATTGCCAGAGATGTTCAGTAGAGGCGCATGTGCAGCAAACATTTTTACCCCAATGGTTTTTGAATCTCTTCTGTGCTCTTCTCTGTCAAGCAAGTGTTTAAGAAATAACAGCGCTGCTGAGGGTCGAAAATCAGCCTTGGAGCCCTATGAACCACTCCCTGCCTCTCCCCATCACCACTGCTGGCAGGCAAAGTGGCTCACTGAGTTCCTCTGATTGTGTCTATGAGGACCTGGCTGAGGAGGAAAAAAAGTAATTTTATGGACTTGAGAATGGAAAGAGACAGTTTCCTCCATGGCATTTGTGGAAAAGCTTTCCTGAGCAATAGATTGAACTATTTATTAATATGTATTAGATAGTCTCCCTATTACTATCATTACTGTGCTATTTTTATTAGATGGAAGCAGCTTCTACCAAGCAGCTGCTTTGGAAAATAACCCCTTGTATTATTTTTTCCCCATTTGATTTAATCTGCTTTTCAAATTGGACATTAAGGGATAGCACAAAGTAAACTTAGAACAAATTAAAATTGGGTGAAAATCAATGTTCTGCAGAACCTTAATCAACACAAGTACCTCTGAGTTTGAATGATTTGTGTTATTCCTGTGGCAGCTCTCTTTGCCCTCTCCTTCCGTGTGAGAGTTGCAGGAGTGATCAGGGATCTCTGCAGAGCTGGGCTAACACACAGTAACCAAGCCATCAACAGAAGCATTAAAGAAAAATATCTAAATAATTTGCATATTCTAGTCCATTAATTTTGGTGGATATGCTTTTGTTTCCTGAGAAGCAAAGTTAGAGCTGACTGTATACTTGAGGAATATTTTTTAAATGTGTCTGTATTTCCAAACCAACTGCCTCTCTGTAGGTATGAAAATGAACGGTGCAAGACAGAGGGGTGGGTCACTGGAACTGGCATGGTGCTTGGGGCAAACACTGTGTACAGCAACAGAAAGGGTACTGCAATTTGAAGAATCCTTTTTTGCTCTGTGGAGAGGAACCCTTGCAGGGCAGGCAAGGAAGGGGGTGGTGTTGATGAGTGTGTTGTAACACCACCCTGAGAATCGGGGCTCTGGTCTTGCTCCTTCAGAAGTGCCTACCTAATTTGCCTCAGGGCAGAATATAGCTTCAAACCCATGACCAGAAGATGGGGGGAAAAGCTGCTTTTAGGGGGTTTTGGTTAGCTGCCAAGGGGAAGAAAGTACTAAAAATCATTTCATCATATTTAAGTGTAGCATTTGGCAGTGAAATTTTACTTTCAAATGGAACACTGAAGTCCAGGTTTCCTGGTGGAGCATGACTAAGCTGCAGGTACAAATGCCAAGGAAACAGCTCCTTCAAGGAAATTCTCGCTAATTCTACTGTTTACTTTGCTTTACTCAGAGGAGGATGTAAGAGCAGCCCCACGTCCTCGCCCTGACAGCATGCTGCTGCAAAAGGGTGATGGAGGACTAACAGGTCAAAAAATATTTTGTCAGACATGCACCCACCTGCCTTATCAAGAGCATTTTGGTTACCAGAACAAAGGTCGCACGTGTTTTGACATCGGTGCTTTTCATGGCGTTTGTGCTGGTGTGACCAGACTCATTGGAAGCCAACCTGCTGCCCCGTGGCATGGATGTGGCCAGAGAAGTTCTGGAAGGGGCTATGTTGCCATAGTCTTCAGTGTATTAGACTTAAAGCATTACAAAATCAGTGTAGATCAGGCATTAAATCCATTCCCAGTGTTTTGTGTCTCTCCTGCTGACCTCAGTGATTAAAAAGATGTCCAGACACATCTATGTGTCCACCCAGTTACCTGGACTGGATACCATCCAGTCACTGGATCACTATCCACTCATCTGGAGCCTGTTCTTCCATGTATCGTCTACTGCAGACTGGGTTATTCTGGTGTCTGAGTAGCATTTCAGAGCACCATCTGAATATAAACGGGGTTTGCTCAGGGTCTGTGAAACCCATGGGCTCAAGTTCTCCCAAAGGAGTTACCCATGTATCTTTCTGCATCAAGATGCAAATTCACCCATGCAGCCAGGCCAGAGATCATCTTGAGTCCTTTGGTCACCTCTGCAGAGCCCCCGAAAGGCAACTGGAAAGAAACCATGACCCCTCAGAAGCAAGGTGTCTCTGCAAGGGCTGCTGCTCTGCGATGTGGAACAGAAACTCCCCAGTTGCTGTCTGAGTGTCACTTCTCAAATGGGATTGCTATTTAAGGTGGTAGAAGTGGTCTCATGCTGATGAGAAAGAGGAAGGAACAGTTGTTTTTCTGAAGATATTTTGAAGCAGCCCTGTCCTTCAAGAATGTGAAATGCAAGTTGAAATTGGCTGGGCAGAGCTCCATTTGGAGAACAAAACACAAACAGGTGACCAGAGTCTTTGTTCTTTTAATGCAGTTACTGGTACATACACATGGGGTTACGCTGCTGAAGGGATGTTTCTCAAGAGTTTCATTTTTGAGTTTGACCTCAATAGCAACAAAGATAATCTCACAGCCTTCGTACCTTTTCCATGGTTTTGAGCAATGAATTATCTTTCCAGGGCTGCTCTTGGACTCCAGTCTCCATGGGAGCCACCACATGCCACCCCACTGGGTGTCCGTCCTGCCTCCACTCCAGCCCTCATTCCCAGTGGGGCTGAGCATCTTGGGCTCCCCTGGACAGGGGTCCCCATGAAAGAGCTGCCAGGGGGGCTTGTCTTGTACTTTGAAAGACTTCTCTGGGCCCGGCCTCCACTGGCAAACTGGGCACTCCAGCTCTCGCTTTACTGAGAAATGGCTATATCTGTCAAATAAACAGCAGCCCAGAGGAGGCACATGTGGCAGAGATCTGGGGATCTCAGAAGCAGCTGGAAAGTGTTTGCAGCTTGGTGACATGGTCTGCTTGTCTGTACCTGCTCTCCTTGCCAGCAGAGAAGCGTACATCAAAAAGTGGTTGGGGGGGAGTTGTGTTTCTGAAGCCATAGTTGCTTCTCTATCATTAGCCCAGGGCCAGGCCTCTGGCATCTCAGAGTATGGTTGCAAAATATTTAATTATATTCTGCCAGTGTCTCCGTTCAGGCACCAGAGGCACCATGACCAGTCTAACCTCACAGTGTCGCTGGGAGCCAGGGCAGTGCCGACACCCTCATTTTACAGGTGGGAGGACCAAGTCACGGAGTTGCTGCATGACCCACCGACAGTCACACGCAAAGTGTGCCGGCAGACTGGGATGGGCAGCCCAAACGTTCACCCCCATCCCTCAGCATGGGACACCCCCTCTCATGGTGGGTCAGCACCCCGCCATGGGCATGCAGGGTGTTGGAGAAGCAGCACCCCACAGCAGGGCCAGCACATGAGCCCCCCACCATTGGGCTCTGCTGGGCTGCATCAAGGAGTGCCCATCAGCAGGGGCAGGGGGTAAAACCCACCCTGGGGACAGGTGGTTTTTTGGAAGCACTGTCCCCAGGCATTGCTCCTGATGGCGGAGGTTGTCCCACACGCGCTCACACCAGCACAGCACCAAAAGACCACGCGAGACCCAGAGTGGCTGCAGTACCCCCGTGCAGGGAGTTAATCTCTGCTTGGCTGGGATTTCGAGTGCTGTTCCCTTGCCAAGTTCCCAGTCCCCTGTAGGCTCTTCTGGCTGCCATTCAGCACAGGTTTGCAAGCGAATGGGCCAAGGGAGCTTCAGCGCTCTTGAAAGAAAGTAAATGCCTGTCTGACAAAGGCCCGGAGTGTTGACAGCCTCCAGGAGCTCCAAGCTTTCCCCTCGGCCCCAGAGTCCACACAGTCCCGCCCTGCCCAGGCCTCTCTGGATGACTTACAGTTATTGTTGGTGTTGTGAGAGCATAGCTGGACCAAGTCTTCCTCCAAAGCCCCTGCCAGCTCCTTCAGCTCCCTGGAGGTGTCTGCCCGCAGGTACTGCCAAGCCTTGCGCCCGTTGTGGTCCCTGCGGCTGGTGTCTGCCCCATAAGCACCCACCAGCACTTTGATGAGCAGCTCGTGTCCCTGCAGGGCAGCCAGGTGCAAGGGGGTGAACCCGCCACTGGTTGTGGGGATGTTCACGTTGACAGCATAGCCCTTCTTCTGAGCATGGGAGATAACCCGGATGAAGCTCTCATAGTGGCCGTGCTTGGCAAGCCAGTGGAGAGCGGTGAAGCCTGTCACAAAGTCTTTCCTGGTCAGCAGGCTGGGATCCAGGTCCAGCAGCCTGACAATGTTGTCCGCATCGCCCTGGGCCACCGTCAGCAGCCACTCGTGCTCCAGGGGATCCAGGGCAAGAGACAGCACCTCGGGGCTCTGCTCAGGCTTCTGCTCTTGGTGTGGCCCCGCAAGGAGACTGCTGCCGTTGGATGTCTTCTGAGTGGTGGCAAACCGCATGGTGCTGCTGGGGCTATTGCTCTGCAGGAGGATTTCCTTCAGCTCCTTCCTCCGGGTACTGCTGGGGCCGACGGAGAGCCTGCCCGCAGTCCTACCCCAGCTCCCCAGGCTCTGATTGCCCTGGCCGACGCTCTTGCTGGTGTCCATCTTCTGCAGTGGATGGAAACGCTCTCTGCTCCCCGTGGCAGCTGGCCAGAGATGGGAGCTGCGGGCTAGGCTCCCTGTTTGGGGCTGGGCTGCTTCCAGGGAGGCGAACGTCCGGACGATGCCAGCTACCCTCTGCTTCACCGAACCCTGCTCCCGTTCGCGCTCCCGCCGGGCCATGGCGGTGCCTCCCACGGGCCTGGCCGGCAGCCCGCTCCCCGGCAGGGCACAGCTTGCGCTCCCCAGCTCTCACCCCACGCTTCCTGCCCCGGCTTAGGCAAAGGAGGAACCGACTCTGCAGGGTGGGAGGGCACACCGGGCACGGCGGCGGATCTACAGCACTGTCGCACTGCCGGGGCGGTGCAGGTGACCTTTGGTCACGCTGCGTCCACGGCTGCTGATGGTGCCGGGCACGGCCACAGCTACGGGCCCCCCGCCCCCCTGGCCCCCCTCAGCTGCAGCAGGATGGAGGGGGATCGGGCGGGCGTGAGGGGGCCCCCGGGAGCATGTGGCACCGCTGGGGCAGGCAGAGGTGGGGGGCCCTGGGCAGCCTGATACTGGTGTTATAGAAGAAATTTGATTAATGTTATTCCTCTCTGAATAGCCTCATTTAGCACTAGTGGCTTAGCATTAGCAGCTAAAGGAGCTGACGCCTTAGGCTGCAAGAGCCGACCAAGCGTAAACTTTTGGTAAAACTAATGCTGCTAACAAAGAACTCACTGAATTTAGCAGATATGAGCAGAAAGAAGGATAAGGACCAAGGAGACAATTCCAAGAGTATGAAGTAACTTCAGAAGAAAGTCAGCCCAGAGACAGTGGAAAGTAGTAAGAAATCAAGAGACCACCAACCAGAATTAAGTGATTGAACTTGGGGATCGGGTGATGGGTGGTATGGGTATAATTGAGAAGCATGAATTGGGGTACGGGTCCTTCTCCAGAGGCACCCAGCTCCACCTGTAACCAAAGCACTAACAAAAGACTGATTGGAAACCTTCACTTGAACTTGGCATTCTCAGCAGGATCCTAGGGTTGGACCCTATTACAGTGGCTGGCGTACATAAATCTGTAACAGTGGTCCTGGGGACACTTCCTCTGGCACTGGTGGCAGCCCAAAGCCCTGGGTGCCTTGCTGAGGCATCTGCCTTACAGCCCCCTCTCCAAATTGCCCACCCCCCCCATTGTAGTGCTTCTCCTTTGTGTTGTGCTCAGGAAGGCCAAGGTTACTGGCCCAAGGGGCCCCTCTCCCAGTGACCAGTGGGTCTCCATGCTGTATGGGAGACCCAGCCCAGGGCAGTGTTTTGGGTCCCTTGACACCTGATGTTTCAGCCCAGCGTTATTTTGGCCTTCCTCTCGTGCTGTATTTCAATTCCCAGCCAGGCCCCATGCCCAGCTGCAGCTGCAGTCATCAGCAGTTTGTACCCTAATTTTGTTAGGAAATGGGACAAATTCCTCTACCCTGAAAGCCCCCAGTCCTGTTTCTCCCAAGGCCTTTCTTATCCATGACTCCTCAGACACCCATAGCATGGCTGAACTCTCACCAGGTAGTTTTACAGCTGGTCAGGTGGCTAAGAGCCATGCCAGCTCTTTCAACCCTTTTGCCTTCTCTAAGCTTTAGCCCTGCTCTGACCTGCCCTCGAGGGACCTTTGCCTTTCTCCAACCACTTGGACCAGTTTCTCTGGGATGTGTAGGGAGCCAGCATCATTCCATAAAGCCCAAATGACTGGTGGTAAAAACATAATTGTCCCTTTGCTCCCTTTCTGGTGCTGCCTGGTTTTGTCACTGGCTGTTGGTGGCTTCTGCAGGCTCAGGGAGGCAAGAAAACTTGACCCACACAGCCGTGGGATCCTGGGGAGTGGTTTAAAGCACTTGTTGGGGGGCAGCTGGGGAAAACAAGGAGGGAAATGAGGTGCTGCTTTGGGGGGATGAGGGCACTGATGGTGCAAAGCCCATTTAGGGCCACATTAGTGCCTGCATTAGGGACAGATTGTGCTAGTGAGCTCCGAACCAGAGTGCCAACCTCGGGGGCTTTACTCTGGGGTCCCAGGGGCTGGGAAAGTTAATTTACTTTGGGTAAGGACTGAGTTTCCTCTCTCTCAGCCATTGTTTGATGCTTGTGCTTGCATCAAGTAAAGGGAAACCCGAAGTGGCACCAGCTGCACCCTCAGAGCAGCAGATGGGTTTATCCAGCCCCTGCTCGCCAGGCCAGGGAGCCGAGGCTGCACCAAAAGGCCGAGAGGGGCTGGGAAGGGGCTGTACTGGCACTGAAGAGGTACCGGCGCAGCCACCATCAATCGGCTTCCTCAGCGAGCGTAGACCATCTCCACAGACCTCAGGGAAAGCGTGCAAAGTGCGCAGGCGTTTTATTTTAAATAGCAAGTGACTTACTGAGGCTGGAGGACCTCAAACCCTTAGACCCAAACGATAAACCCCCGTCCGGCCTCAGCGCGGCGTGGCTCTGCCCCAGCCCTGGCCAGGTGCGTGGCCGGCATTACCGGAGGGGCCGCGGGGCAGCCGGGCAGGGTCCCCCCAGGCCTGCCCTGAGAGGGCAGTTCGGGGGAATGCATCACTGGGCTGGGAGCGGGCAGGGCGCGGCCGGGCTGCAGGCAGCGTCCCTCCGGACAGCCCGCGGGCCTGGCAGGGCTGCCTGGGGGCTGCGGGGCCGCCGCCCGGGGCCCCGCCGCCCGCCATCCCCCTCGGCCCGCCGTGCCCCGCCACACTGCGGCCGCGGCCCCGCCCGCCGCCCGGGCTGTACCATCGCGGGCGGCCGCGGAGGGGGGTGGAACGCAGACTCGCAGCCTCGCTCCTCCCGGAACGGGTCGCCGCCAGCGGGACCGGCGGGACCGAGCCCGGCGGGAGGGGCGCGGGGCTGGGCGGGGCCGGGGGAGCGGCGGGTCTGCCGTGTGTCCGCCCCCCCCTCCCTCCCCGCGCGGCGTCGCGGTGGGCGCGCCCGGAGCCGCCCGCCCGGCCGGGGCGGGCACTGTGGCGGGCTCGCAGCGATGGCGGCGGCCGAGGTGGCGCGGCAGGTGAGGGGCGGGCGTGGGGCGCCGGGCACGGCCGGGGCGGCAGCCGGGAGCGGTAGGCACGGCCGGGCCGGCGGGCCGGGGAGGGTAGGGCTGGGCCGGGCTGGGTCAGGGGGTGCCGGGCGGGGCGCGGGCTGCGGGGTCGCCGGCCTAGGGGCTCCGGGGCTCGGCCCAGGGCGGCGGCGGCTTCCTGAGGGGGTCGGGGTTTGGGGGCCGCTCTGAGGGGAGCCGGAGTTACCTGGGGGGGGAGGTTTGGGTCCACCCCGCTGGCTGCGGGGCAGCAGAGGGACCCGCAGCGCAGCCCAGCGCTGGCTGCACTGCCGTGCTGGGGAGGCCTCATCCTACACCTTTACCCGGGGCTGAGGGCCCCTTGCCGGGCCAGGGCGCAGTGGCGGGCGAAGGGCTCCTTGTCATCCCCGTCTCTCCAGGGATGCTCTCCTCCTCCCAAGGAAGGTGTCATCCCGTGCTCGTTAGTGCATGATGCAGGGAAGGTCTTCAGTCCGGCCGCAGAAGCCCATGCCGAACATCATCACCCCATCCCCGCTGCGCGTTGTCCCTGAGGAGCAACCCGCGGTGTCGTCCCTACTGCCCGTGGGCAGACCTATCACTGATGCTCGCCTGCCTTCGTAGCTTGGCTCAAAGCTCTCTGTGTGCCTGCAGAGAATTATCCAGAAGAGGAGCCACCTCTGCGTTTGTTAGAGAAATGCTAAGCAGGCATCTGTAACGTGTTTGCATGCGGAAGTGTTTTGTCTGTGTTTTGATGGGCTTCCAACTTTCTTGTCCAGGCATTAGTACAGAAATAATACTTGAGATGAGTGCTTGCCATCTCATCTTCAAAGCAGTAGGTTTTAGTATGGACCCAATCTTGTTGAACGGGTAGATGTAGCCAGTGTGTGATGTTATTTCCTCCTGGACATACCCATTGCCTTGTATGTGACTGCCAAGGTATGTAAAGTGACTCACTTGCTCCCATGTCTTTTAAAGAAATTGAGCGTTAGGCTTTCCTAAGATAATGTACGGGAGTTTCAGACATCTGCTAGTGGCCTGGAATGAATTATGTTATAGCACAGTGTCTCTTTGGAGCCAGAAAGGAAAGCTAGCTGTGAGACGGGCATGAAATCAGTGTGCTGCAAATTGAAAATGCCTTTGTTCAGACAGATGACTTGTCAGCCTGGGTCTTGGGCATCCGGTCGTGGCTGTGGTTTGTGAAGCGGTCAGCCGTAACATCCTGGTGATGCAAAGGTCTGCTCTGTTGTGTGCTGATAGGGTTAAACACATGCCAGAACTGGGGTAGGGTACGTGGAGGAGTTGGGGTCACCACCATGCCTCTGTCCCAGCAAACCCTTGATCTAAACCCGCATTTATTGTGGAGATAGACAGTGAAACCCCCTCCTCCCTGGGTGGGCAGGGCAGCCTTGTCACTGCAGAGCCGATGCCCCTCTCCTGTCCTCTGCTGGCACAGAGGCTGCAGGATTTAAACACCAAGACCCACATGGGATTTGTCCACCCTGTGGGTGGAGGATGCGTGCAGAGGACTAGCCTACTGGGCACTGTCTGACTCCCAATCTCCATAGTACAGATCAGAAAAATCCTTAAGACTGCTGAAATAGATAAGTATTTTTTAATTGCTGGAAGAGACTTCTTCTGGGAACGTATCCAAAAAAAAGTGGCATTTCTGCAGCCCTTTGGCAGGGGCGTACAGAAATGAAATCTTAAGAGCTGTTACAATTTGAAATTTTCAGAAGGACTTGACCGTTTATGAATATTGAATGGCTGAATGATGCAATATGCCTGAAGAGGGTGGTCAATGGTCAGGAGCTTTGGTGAGATGCTTATACAGAGCTATTTCTCTACCACTTCTCTATTGTTTTTTTTTTTTATACGTGTCCTGATGATTTCTTGTCAGCTGAGCAAGGAAAAGAAATACAAAGTCTTCATCTACACTTTACATTTCTGCTTTGCATTTATCTTGTGGATGATGTTTATACTGTCTGCTGGATAATTCTGTCATTGCATAAGAGAATTACACACTTGTACAACTGAGAAGTAATTGGTTGAAGTGTTGCTCTAATTTGCTGTTTAATCAGAGCCAAATGCAGTCTGGGGAAGTGGATGCCATAACGTCGAGGTCATGAGAAGGGATCTGATGATGTTTTGGCATAAAAATGATGTGAAAAACTGTGGTGTGGAAACCTGAATTCAGGTTCTGCCTTGCTTTGCAATTTGATGTTTGACTTCTTGTGCAAGAGTTGTCTCAGGTATAGGGGGTTAACCTCCCCAGGTGTCAGCTTTATGGGATGGCAGAAGGGCAGGGGACCTGCTGTGAGCATTGGCAGTGGTGATGGAACTCTGTGAGTGTTGCTTGATTTGTTTTTATTGAGGGATGGTGCTATTGTGTTTGTTTTGGCCGTTTGGAAATCCTCTGAAGGGAGTCTCCAGGGCCTCAGTGTTAGAAGTGATTCTCATCTGGGGAGAGGTTGGAAATTGTGTCAGAAGTAGTGAATGGCAGCTGTCAGTGTCCTAAACAGAAACACTCTTTTCAATTAGATGCAGAAGAAATACTGTACCACAGTCTTTGGGAGTGTTTTCTTGATGTGCAAGCCTGGATTGGATACTGTGTCCCTTAGCTTCAGAGCTCTAGCCTTCTTTATTTGCTGTGTTCTGCCTAAATATCGCCAAGTGGAGGCTTTTGCTTTGCCATGGTGTCTTTTTGCATTGTTCCTTTAGTCCAGGCCACCAGAAATTGTCCTGACTGTGGAGTGCTGACCTGTGCAGTGAGCAGCACCATTGCGTGGGCTCAGTGAGGATGCTTTGCTTTATCTCTGCAAAACGGTAATAGCCTCTCGAGGCTCCAGGGATGTCAGGAGGTGACAGGGGTGTACCTACTTATCAACTAAAGCAGATCAAGGCAGAGATGCACATTCAGCAAGGTTTTCCTGTAATCGTTTTTTTTGTCCCAAGGACCCTGATGAAGTGATTCAAACACCTGGAGTCTGAATCAGACCCATTTTCTTTAAACTAATATTTAACATGCAGTGCTTTCAGGCTTGGGGTCATTTATTATAGCATCTTTATATTTTTCGTATATTTCTGATAGTTTTTTTTAAGAATTAGAGTAGGCAGCGGTGGTTTCTGTGGCATGGAGAAGCCCTAGCAAAAGCGGTGTAAATCTTTCGAAGACAGGGAAGAAACAGAAAAATCCTCTCCAAGTGGCTACTTTTTACTTTCACTCTGCAATGGCCCTGCCTGGTAATGCAGCAAGAGAGCGTATTGCTCTTTTTGTTTTTTTACTCTTGTTTGTTGCAAACATGCTTTGCTTCCTCCCAAGCAACAACAGCCCATTCTATCTTGGGGGGATCACTCTGTGTATATGGGGGCGGGGTGGGGGGAAAGGCATCTGGTATCTTGGTGTGGTGCCAGCATTCACACTGGCTTCCCAGAGATCCTGTCTTTGTTTTTGTTCCAAGAAGATGCTAACTTCAAAATAGAGAGTACAGAAGGACTCTCGACCATCCAGTGCTCACTGATGCTTGTGGAAAATGCCTTCATACAGTCAATAGTTAAACCTTGCTTATCTTGTTGGTATCTCTTTATATGTTTTAAATTTGCCCTGAAAGGTTGTTTTTGAAGATACATAATGGAAGATAGCACTTGGACACTTTTTCAGCAAAAAGTTTATAAGCTTAACATATCCTCCTTCAGTTTTGAGCAAGGTAATGCAAATCTACATTTAATGTACAGGCAGGATGACTAATCGCTGTGTTCATATGTTGTTTATGATGATGCTGTTTATATATAGTTGCATTCTGGATACAGAGACACCACTTGGTGTGTGAAGACTGGTGACTTGCACTGTTTCTTGGTGGATCAGATAGAAGATGTTTCTTTTCTCTCCACAGGTTTGCTAACTGCTGACAACTTTTTGACATGTGTCAAAACCAGTCTGACCTTAAAAATTTATTTATTTTTTTTTTCCCCCCCACATCTGATCTCTCAATGCCTTGTCCAAGCAGGCTTTGGATTTTTAGACAGAGTAGCACAGTATACCTCATGGCTGCATGCTTAACATGAAGGCTCAGCTGCTATGACTGGAAATCAGATTTTGCAGTACTTGTTTCCTGGCCTGTAGCAGATGTGAAGTGTGGTTTAACTGCATTATAAAACCACAGGTGACTAGAAAAAGAGGCTACAGGAAATGACTTGCAGGCTGAATACTGCATGATGGTAAATGCCTCCTCTCAGCCGAGAGTGGCTTAACTTCTACCGTTTATTTTGTTCCATCTGGATCACGCTTATATTTAGGGATGAGGAGAAGATTTGTTCTTAATGAGAGCCTACACTCCTGCCCACGCTTCCTGGGGAGAGTAGTGTTCAGTCTTCCAATGGTGCAGTTTTAAGGCTATTAAAAATACACTTGATATTTCTCCTTCCCCAGGAGGAGTCTGTCTGCAGTTCTGTCATGCCTTTGCAGACTGTGTCCACCCATCTGTTCTTCATCGAGGCCATGGTCCTTTCCATGCAGATCAAACACTGCCATGAGATACCCCAGTGATGGGTTTTTGTTTTGGTGAAAGTAGTTTAAGAGAGTCTAGGTGTGTCCTCACAAAATCTGCATGCCTGATGGTTTCCCTTTCTTCTACTTTAACTGTTTGTTTCTGAATTGCTGGGCCAAGGAGCTGCATCCTCAGAAGGTGAAAACAATCTGCTGGGGAACTGAAATGCCTTCCTGATGAACATGTCATTTGGAGACAAGGTGCTCAGGGATTAATAAAGCGCCATATTTGGTGAACATCTTGGCAGGAAGAGTCACTAATACACAAAATATGGCTAAGGGGAAACATATTTACACATCACAGGGTGATAAATATGATTAACGGCTGAAGTGTATTTGGAGCCTCATATTTGGAAAAAAACCCCACACTGGCAAAACAGTAACAAGGCAAATAATTGTACTCTGACAGGCTACTGTAGTGAATGCAGTCCTTGGGGATGTGCTCCTAGCCTAAAATACCAGTGCCATTAACAGAAGAGGGAAAACCAGTATGCTTGTACATACAAACAGGCTTTCAAGATACGTGAAAACATAATTCTGAAAGAGTAAGTTAAAAATTACACCCTATACATGTTTTGGCTGCAGTATTTCTTGCGAACTAATAATATTCTCGAAAGGCCAGAGGGCAGTTTTCTGTATTTGACACAAAAATACATTGTTTGGAAAAGTCTTTACTCCAGGGAGGGAAACACCTTTTGGGGGTGATGCAGAAGGGGAACTTCCCAGTACACACAAGTGTGCAGGGTTAGCACCGACTCTCTGGTTTTCGTGATGCCGTTTCTGAGGCTGAGCCTCTGCATATAGTTTATACTGTCTGCTGTGCAGGTTTGGAACCCGGAGTGCCTTGGCATACATAGGCCCTTGGGCAATGGCCAGGTGAAAATTTCTGTCCCCGCTGCACAAGCAAGCGGCTGTGCTGGGTGTGGAGCACAGCGTGAGCAGGAGCTGGAGCTTGGCCCTTCCCCTTCCCGGGGCAGAAAGGGGACGCCTGGCCCCGGAGACTGGGTTAGTGGTGTCAGACAGAAGAGAGAGCAGGGTGTGGGAGCAGCTTCTCATGAAGTCAGCTGGGTGGCTGGGCAGGAGCAGCCTGTGCCCCCCAGCCAGAATGTTCAGGTGCCTCCGCTCCCAAATCCCCGTGCAGGCTGCCTTCTGCAGTCTGTGTGGTTACAAGCAGCTCAGTTCTGGACACTTTTTCTCAGCTGTTTTTATCCTGTTCAGTTCCTAGATTTGAAATATGTGCTCTGAAGCTCGGATAGCAACACTGAGAGCTGGAGAAGACCTGCTACCTTGCATGGTCTGGCCATCTGCCCATGCGAGCATCTTCCTTGCAGCTTCCTTCAGTGATCCCTGATTTTCTGGTGCTAATGGCCATTTTATAGATTTGGTCTGAGATTTTCATCTTCATAACAATATGGAAGATATTGCTGTGTTTGGTAGCTTGAAGACTGTATTCTCTGCTGTTTCTGTGCTACAACGCTTGAACTTTGCAGAGGCAGTGTGTTTGGGTTGTTCAATTACTAGATGTAGGTACAGTTTTCCTAACCATTTCTAGTTAGTTTCTATAATTGCAGCTGTGAATGTGAATTACACATGAGTTACAATGCATGTTAAGTGAATTGTAATAGTCTTATGGGAGGAGGCATCATTAATATATTCCTTTGCATAGGGGATTCTTCTTGTTTGCAGTATAAGGTGAGACTTGAGTGTCTACATAATTTCTCAAGAAACACATGTTTCACTGCCTCTATTTCAGCAGCTGTATTTGGGTATGTGTTTTGCACAGTTTAATATTTTTCTGACAGGGCTACCTTCTAATGTGCAGCAAATGAAATGTTCTATTTGCGCTGTCTGGATTTGTTTTGGAGAAGAGGAAAGCCCGCTGACACAATTTACAGTATATATGCAAATGTCTGCTTGGACTGTACAGTTGATTCCACTTGGGAGGTCTTGAGGCTTTATACAGATAAGTGTATTTTGCATGAGAATGATACAACTATTTCATTGTATTTCAGGGTGAAGGCTGTCGTACTGTCCCACTTTCTGGACACGTAGGATTTGACAGTTTGCCTGACCAGCTGGTTAATAAGTCAGTTAATCATGGGTTTTGTTTCAACATCCTGTGTGTGGGTGAGTATTTCCATTTTGGGAAGTTCTCTTGCTTAAAAGGGCTTCTCTGCAGCTGCATGTAGCTTGTAGGTGACAGCATTAAAAAGGTAGCTTTGATTTAAATTTCCTCAACTGTTCTGTCTATTTTCAGTAACAAGATTTAATGGTGCTCTCGGAAATCCCTGCTGGGGTTATGCAGTATGGCTTTCTACCAGGCAGTGAACCATAGAAATAAAATGCCTAAAATCCCAGGCTTTTATTACTATCTTTATTTTCCTAGTATGTTCAAATTTAATGTTTTTAAAAGAAAATACGTACTCATGCCAGAGAACTTCTTTCTGAGGTCTTGTTTGGCTAGGTATTGAATTATTATTATAATTATTTTAATAAAATACTAGACATGCTCCTCTTAAATTAAAGCTTTTTTTATCTTTCCTTCTGTGCATACTTGAATTAAAATAGTGTCTGGCCAAGCCTTAGCTGGTCAGATGATTTTCTAAGCTGCCAGTTGGTATGGATCTCAGCTGGGGCCTGGTGCTGTAGTAGGACTTGGTGTCTGTCCCTGCAGCGTCTGCCTGTCTTACAGGTCTTGCCCAGGGTTAGGATCCCAAATGGTCCCTCCTCAGAGGTGCTCCCAGGTAACAGAAGTAAATCCTGTATGGCTTTGGTACAGTAGTTTGATAAGGTGGATAAGGGAATTAATTATTTGAGAGGACAATTAGTTTGGTTTACTGATGCGGCGCCCTGCCTCTGAGAGCAGGAGGTTGTTGTGTGGCCGTGGCTGCTCGGTGTAAGTTCTGTCTGCAGATGCCCGCAGCAGTGCCTGGCGTGAGGAAGAGGAGAGCTGCAGCTGTGGACACCTCCTGGGGACTCATGTTAGCTGGTGGTCGGCTCTGCACCCGCACAAAGGTTGTCTGGCCCCTCCTGTGAGAGATCCAGCTCATACTATGGACCTGGGTGTTTGCCCAGGACAGGGTTAAGTCTGAGACAGCGGAGTAGAGTGAGGAGAGGGGAGCTCCCTCCCTGTTAATTGGAGCTGAGAAGAAAACTTTCCCTGACAATGGCATTCCTGTGAGATGATAAACTTTGCTGACAAGTAGAGGTCACTGGCAGGCTGAGTCGCTAGGTGATTTCCACAGTACGTGAATGTGATGTGACCTAGTGGAACTCTTGTCCTAAGGATTGAAGTCTTAAAGTATTTCCTTTTGCACTTACCGAGCTGCTGTGTGTTTTTTCTACAAGTTATAGGTGTAGCAGTGGATGCCTCCTGTGGTTATATGTTCACTTTGATGTGTGGAGAGGAGTTGAATGCCTCTGCTTTACTCTTTGCAGGACAGAAATGGAATACATTAATTGCTTGTTGATCTGAATGACAAGGACTTGCCAAGATCAATGCACATTAGTTATTAATGTCAGTCTTTTATGAATACTAATAACACAGACATGGTCAATCTTGAAATACAGAAACTTTTCTATAAAGTTTAATAAGCTTCATTAGAAAAGATCTACAAAACTTGAGTTGAGGAGGTCAGGCTTTAAAATGTCTTTTAAAAGTTGCCTGGTGCCCTGTTAACTTGTGGTAACAAAGTTAAACTGTTAAACATCCTGGAGGAAGAAAACAGAAGGTCCCAGAGTCCATCTGTCATTTATTCTGTTGGGTCTCACTTGTACATCAGAAGTTTGGGGTGAAAAATTGAAAGAACAGGGAGCGAATGAGGATTGGAGGAAACAAAACAACAAACAGATGAACTGATCCCATAGTCAGGCCACTAAGCATGAGAGAAAGGCACTTCATTGCCCCCCATTTTTCAGCTGTGTGTGCATCTGTTGGAGAAAAAATCCAGTGACAATTTTGCTCTGTGCCATACTGGATCGGAGCCACCAGTTTCCACAGCTCCTGGTGGAGGAGCCAAGGAAGGCTTCAGAAATGCCTCTCCACAGCATGTCCAGAGTGGAGCAATTTTTAGCTCTTCTCATGCTGAAAGCTGTCTCCCCTTTGAGACTAGAGCCGAAGATAGAATAAATGAGCAAACCTCTCATAAGAAGTCAGGGGTTGCGGATGGTTTCTCTGATTTTGTTCCTCAGCACAACTGTTCTTTTCCTAAAGCTTCCATGTTAAAATGTTAGTTGCCTCAGTTCAGTGCAAAGGCTGGAGAAGTATTTACTGGCTGAGACCTTCTGTGCTGACTATTTTTCAGTGAGATGGGGAAGAAAGAGGAAGAACAGACTGACATTTTTCAATGTAAACTTTCTCAATTTTGGCAAGGGTAGATTGTAAGTTGCATTAGACTAGTATCCCATTATAAGCAGGAGTTTCCCCCTTCCTCTCTTCCAGGATGTGCAGGGGATTTTTTCTAACCTGCCTATTCTGTGCAATAAGAAATGGCTATTTTGTGGCAGAAATACCTTCTCTTTTTTCAGGGACTGTACCACAATTGCTTGAGGTCTCTCACTGTAAACGAGTGAGCCACTTGGGATGCGGGAGCTCTCACCGGCTGGCGACGGGGGGGATGTGCACAGTTTTCCTTGTGCAGAGCTGCTGTCTGCTCTCCAGCAGGCAGCTTTCAATGGGGTGATGAGCTGTGCAGCCTGGAAGTTGCCCAGTGGTTGGTTTTGTGATCACTGGTGCAACCAGCTGAGGAGAGAACAGGGTTTCTCCAACTGCAAAGCCATCAGTCTCGTCAGCCCTCTCCTGCCCCCTCACTGCTGGTCCCCTGGGGCAGACTGGTGGCTGGGAGCCAGATAATCCTCTGAGGCTTTTCAGCATCTTTTGTGAGCCCATGTTGTTCCTCTTGTCCCCGCAATTTGCCTTGCGATGGGTGAATCGTGTAGTGTCTCCATATGCCTGTCAGATGGAAAGAACTATTTTTTCTGCTCTCTGTGAGAGAAGGCCTTATCAGGCTGAGCTGCCTCAGGGCTTGTCTCAACAAACCTGCTACATTGGGTTAGCTCCCATTTCTTCACGTGAAAGGGCTGTGCATGTGTGTACATTTTCTTTAAGATTGTAATATCTGATATCTGGAGCCACAGTTGTTAATCTCATGAAGGACAGGTGTTGCTCTTTCATGAAAGGGCGCTCTCGTGAAAGCTGCTCCGTGCCTTTGAACAGGGAAATACTCCAAAGGCTCCTCTTTCCTTCCACAGAGTCGATTTAGGATGATATGACTGGGGCCTCTTAAATCCTGAGTGATGTGGAGAAGGGAGCCAGTGAGCAGCTGTTTGTTGTTTCACGTAACATGTACTAGGGAAAAGCAAATTAAATCACTAGGTACAAAAAAGGAGGTACAGCTTTTATGGTGTATAATTCATCGTACTGCTGCGGGGTGCTTAGGTTGCCAAAATTTCTGTACAAGGAAGAAGCCATGAAGGTGCATTCAGCACAAAGATACCTCTTTTGGTTTGGGAAGCTTCCAGCTTCCCAAAGGAAGAAGCATTTGTGGTGGGCACAGCTTGTTCTGTTCCTCCACTCTAGCTGCTGGCCAGTGTCAGATACAGATATGGTAGCACCTCACCTCCACCTCTCACCTCATCTCCATCTCACCCAGAGCAGCTGGTGGTGGGTAGCCCTCATGCTGCTTGCCTGCACAACATGACGTGTCGCTTCGCAGTACCGATGGCCAGATCACTTACTCCCTGCAGCACGGGTGCTTGCTGTCTTTTGACAGGAGCTCTGCCTGGCCACCAGCTGGAGAGCCCCAAAGAGTGAGAGCGAAGTCCTGACCTGGTATCCCAGGGAGGGCAGTCTGGTCCCAGAGCAGGGGATCTCTCTGGAGTAGCTGAAGGGAGGAGAGTGGCACCTGTCCCACCTGTGTTTTTGCAAGTGGTGCCACTGCTCTGCCAATGACGAATTCGATGAACCGTTTCTGTAGAGCACTGAAGACGCCATGTGCATGTGCAGTTGGAGCAGCAAATGTGCCTCAGAAGACCGAGAGAAGGTGTGTGGAGCCCAGCACAGTGTCTCTAGCCTGGCAGGCTGTCAGGTGTTAAAAGTGTGTGATGCCTTCTGGGCACTGCTGTACGGATGCTGTGTGTCCAGAGCCTGACTGGTGCAGTGTCTCTTGCCATTTTTTTTTTTTTTTCGCATCTCTGAAAATTGTCAGGCTTAATAGTAGAAATAAATCTGATGATGAAAGGCAGGATGCTACAGCTTTTCATTAGCTGTCAGAGCTTCCTGGTGCAGAACTCTGACAGTAAAAGTTACCCTCCCTGCCCTGTCCTCCTCACAGCGCTTTATCAGCCCTGCTTCAGGAGAGCAGGCCACTGCCGAATTGCATAATCCTAAGTACATTTTTGGAGATCAAATCACATGTGTGCCTATAAGCCTGACATCAGGAAATAATCTCCCTGCCAAGGACGCCTCTCACTTGGTTCGCATACACCGCTGCTTTTTCCACGGTGCCTCCCTTAATCCCCATTCATCGTTTCTGCTTTTTGGAGAAGATTCCAGTGCTGTCAGCTGGAACAAGTACAGACTACTTGTCCTTTTCATCAGACCATCTGTTTCATCTGGACTTCTGTCCTTACAAGAAGCAGTTGGCACCATTTACATCTTCTAGCCAGCGGAAAGTTGTCTCTGTGTGAGGCAGAAACTCCCAGGAGATTCAGCAATCCTCCTTTCTGTCCTTTTGCCCTTCAAAGTAGCACTGCTCCCTAGCTCTGGTCATATTAAACACAGCAAAGCACTTTAAAATCATCAATCTTTTACTATCTCATGTCACTCCGTCAGTGTTAATGTCATGTTTCTTTTAGCTGAGACAATCTTTCCTCTCTCCTCCGTCCTCCTCTTCTCTGGCAGGCGTTAGTGCTGTGCCCTGTCAGTGGGGTTACGCAGTGCTGGGAAGGGTGTATCTGCTGGTTGACTGTAATTTCTGCTGTGCAGACCTCACATTTGAGATGCCATGTTAGAGGCTGGGTGTTTTGTGTTTTGAACACAAAGTTGTAGGTGTTTGGATGGGCAACTTGCACCTATGGAAAAATGCTTTACCAGTTCAGATCTTCCCCTTCCAAAAGGAAAACCTCAGTGTGTGAATTCAAAGTTGCCTTTGCTGGCTCTGTGTGGCTGGTGTGAGAAGGAGTAGAAAAGCATGTCCTGTCTCTAAAAATTTGCCTGCATCTCTAATGCACTTCTGTCCCCTCTGACAGTTAAAGTCACTTCTGCTGGAAACGACACATTAGATTCATTTAAAGTAGGTGATGATTAGCAGGTTCAGGATGCATTTAAACAATAGTCTTGGCCTCATGTGAACATCTTTTGCCGTAGAGAAGAGAGGCAGAAATGAGAGGTGGCTTACAGGGTGTTTTGTCTGCCTGGAAGCCAGCGTGATTTACACGTGACCTTGTGTATCCGCTGCAGAGGGCAGCTCCCTGCCCTGGTTGCCACTGCTGCTCCCCTGTCACAGTGTCCTGCAGCCCTGTAGGCTCGGGGCACAGACTGCTGGATCTGACCCTGCTCCGGGGCTCACCAGGCCGTGGGATAGAGAACGTGGGGCAGCGTCACAGGAGGAGGCTTTGCAGGCTGGTGTGTGGGAGGTGCTCCCAAACCCCAGGGCTGATGAGCTCCCCTGTCCTGAGACACCCCACCAGGGATCCTGGCATTCACAGGCAAGCTGCCAACCCTCTGGTCTGTCCCACCCATCCCTTGGCAGTGGCCCTGGAAATGCTGCAGCCTTCTCAGGCTGTTTAGATTTTTTTTTTATGCTGCTGTTTTCCTGGAATCCCTGAGAAAGGCCTGGCAGGTCGTCCAGGCAGTCTGCTGTTAACTCTCAAAATCCCTGTCCAAACCATGTCTGCTGTGCTTTGTGCACCTGCTCCCCGTTTGGGGCAAATGGTACCCCAAAAGCCCAGACTGTGAGATGCCAAGTCAATGAAGGGCTTGCCACGTGATCAGCCGTGAGTCTTCTGGATGGTCCAGCTCATTCTTCTAGTGACAGAGATAACCTTGTGCTTTGCTGGGTCCCACTCCCTTTCTCATGCCGGTGCACTCCAGTTGGCAGTGTTGTAGGTATGGCTGATGCATTGACATAGCACAAGGGATTGCAGGAACACCAAGTCCCGGTGCTGTCTCCCTTTTCTCCCCTTTGGATTGCAAATGAGATTGGTGTGAAGAGCAACTGGATTTGAAGCTGTTCTGGCCGTAGCTGGCATCATCGGTGATGGAGCACAAACACTTAGCTGGCTCCCAGGCAGCTCTGCAGCTCAAGGTGTACATTGACTTTCAAACGTTAATGAATCTTGCTGCTTCTGGAAAGATACTTGATACATGATCCTGGCAATCTGAGACTGCTTAGTTCCCAGAGCAGGGGATGTTAGCCCTGCCCTGCTTGTCATATACTTCAGCCCTGAGTGAGAGATGTCCCTTCTGAGGCCAAGAGAGTGGAATTTGCCTGCTTTGTAGGCGTGAGGCTCAGAGATTTGGACGGTGGAGGATGAGAAGGATTTACCTCTTGTTGAATTGGGCATTTCATGCAAGTTTGGGTCTGTTGCAGAGCTCTAAACCTGCAAAAATAAGAAGCTCTTTTCTTTGGAGCAGAGTAGGAAGATGATGAAGTTGTCTTGTTTGGGAGCTGAGGGCTCAGGGCGGGGGGGAAGGCTGCTTCAGCCAGACACAGTCTCCCTGGGGTCTCACAGCGGGCTGGAAGAGAAGCCCTCGCAGTGGGTGGGGTTCAGCCGGATCCTGATGTTTCAGCAAAAGCCAGCTGGGCAGCTCAGAAATCGCCATTTCTCCAAAACACAACAGCCCTCACAGGGCAGCAAACCAGATTGCTTATGGGTTTAGCACAGAGTCAGATTCTTTGAGCTCGGACAGCTGGCTCTATTGTCAGAGCATGGTAAGGGAGGCTGCCCTGTGGAATGAGTGCACAGAGGGATTTGGTTTGTTCTTCCTGGGTTGTATCTAATACAAATTTAAGACTGGTCTCTGGGATTTGTCTCTTCCTTCAAGACAAGGAAATAGTTCCCCGTTAATAGATGAAATCCAAATAGCAGTTCAATGCTGCAAAACTTCTGAAAGCAGATTTTGGAGTATCGTATAGCTTGTGTAGCCCTTAAGGTATGGAAACCAGATATTACAGAAAATCTCCCCTCTCAGTCTAGAAGGCTGATCCCCCAACTTAATCTGTTGTGGGTACAAGAAACCAACTGCACAACTTGCTGTAGAACTGGAACCAACTCTCAAGTGTTTATGCATAGAAGGAGACTGCATCAGTGGCTGCTTATTAGAGGCATATTGATCTGGAGCATCTTTTTTTTGGATATGGCAATGAGCCCTGTTCCCTCTCCCAGTTTTCAATGGATACAGCATCTTCTGTAGTGTAGTTGTGGGTTTATGGACGATCTGAACGATGTTTTCCCCTCTGCCTTTTCACCTCTTTCTTTTCATCTCTATTTTCTAATGATATTAATGGCCATTAGACTGTGAAATGTAATTTGCCCAGAGTACAGGCCTTCCATTGTACATGGCTTTCTGCTTGCCAGACAATCTGCTTGGAGCATGAGATCTGCTTTCATCTGCTACAATTTCATCCCTGTTAACATTTGGAAGCTGAAAGGCCATGCCATATTAATATTCCACAGAACATTTCAACTGTCTTTTTCTCCAACAGGAGAAACTGGCCTTGGTAAGTCCACCCTCATGGACACACTTTTCAACACCAAGTTTGAAGGTGACCCAGCATCTCACTCACAGCCTGGGGTCCAGCTGAAATCCAATACCTATGACCTGCAGGAAAGCAACGTCAACCTCAAACTGACTATTGTGAGCACCGTCGGTTTTGGAGATCAGATCAACAAAGAGGACAGGTGAGTGAAGGGGGAGAGAGCCTGTATCATGACCTGGTTTTTTCATTCAGGGTCTCTCCCTGTGCCCTAGTTGGGCCAGACTGTGCTGTAAAGTTTTCTTCCTTCCTTCTTAGAGGTTGTCCTTGTCACCTCTTTGGGATGGGACAGGTAGAAGAGAGGACAGAGGCTGTGGTGTGTCAGCACTGATCCAACTATCTAAGCAGTTTTTCTCATGCTGTCAGAGTAATATCTGCCCTGCTGGCAGCCTTCTGCCCAAATTCATCTGGTGGGGAGCTCCAGGGCATCTGTGCTTGCTTCCTTGAGCTGTGCTGACCATGAGCTGCCAACCAAACCACTAGCATGGTCTAGTGACCACTTGGCTTAACAGCTACTTCTGGCAGGGCCCTTCCATGTTGCCAAAGAAAGCACAATAAATGTACAGTGAGATACCCTGGGGAAGTATCTCTGGCAGCTCACGTTCCATCGTGGCTGGAGCATCACAGTTGAGGGGTTTGTGATTCCACCAGACCATCTCCAAGGTGCATCTTCACAAAGGCATTGCAGATGGGAATTGTTTTGTTGTGGGTCTGTTAGATTTTCTTTTAGTTTTATTTAAGATTCAATAATGTTCTTTACATTGTGAGTCTGACAGGCTCTGTATTTCAGATTGCATTGCGAAGGAGTTGCAGGGATTTCCTGCCCCAGAGCACTGGGCAAAGGTAGTACTGAATGGAGACGTGTCTTCTGCCTGCAGGACTCGGGGTTGTGAGAGCAGCAAGCCATTTGCTCCCTGAGTGCAAGCAGGGGTTACACACTGATGTGAATGAATCTCCATTAATTTCCTTTTAAAAGTTGCACCTTCACCTTTTGAAGTATGAGAGTCCACTTTCCTTGGAGAGGATGGTGTGTCTCCTGTTCTCTGCTGAATCTCCAGTACTGTGTTTTGTCAAACAGGCTGCTAGAGTCTGATGTAGTGCAACTTTAAGATTTCTTATGTCTGGGGAGGAAGGGAGACTGAGAGAACTGGTCTCAGGAAGTGAAATCTAACCAGCAGCTTACTTCTTAAAAGCAAGCAAAGGAGCACTGTCTGTTTACCTCTCTGACTGTGAGATGTTTAACTTTTTTTTTTTCGATCAAAGCTATAAGCCCATCGTTGAGTTCATTGATGCTCAGTTTGAAGCTTACTTGCAAGAAGAACTGAAGATAAAAAGGGTCTTGCACAACTACCATGACACCCGGATCCATGCTTGCTTGTACTTCATTGCTCCAACAGGCCACTCTCTAAAATCTCTGGACTTGGTAACAATGAAGAAGCTTGACAGCAAGGTAGGCACGTTTAACCCTTACTGGGCAGGTTCAAGGTGTGCGTGGTGGAAAGGCTGCTGCTTTTCCAGAGCACGGCAACTCACTTTGAATAGCCCTTATGCTGGTGGAGATGACTGGGGTGGCAGATAAATCCTGCAGGTTTACTGAGCACTTTTAAGTTTTTGTAAGTTGTATTGCAGACTTGGAAAAACTCCCTGGAGCAAAGCTGAGGGCTTCTTACCACTCTTTTCCTTTCTAGGTGAACATCATTCCCATCATTGCCAAATCTGATGCCATTTCCAAGAGTGAGCTGACCAAGTTTAAAATTAAAATCACAAGCGAACTGGTCAGTAACGGGGTTCAGATCTACCAGTTCCCAACAGACGATGAATCGGTGGCAGAGATAAATGGGACAATGAATGTAAGTGGCTTGGTGCTTCTTCCTCTCCAGAACAGCACTGTCACTGTAGGGATTGGTGGCCCATATTGGGATGCTTCTTAAATCCACTTCCCCTTTTATTTTGTGTCTTTAAAACCAGAGGATTTCACAGGGATCCCATCCTTGTAGTGTCATCCCAGGCTAGCAGGGCCTTGTGGTAGGTTACTGCTTCTCTGGTGGGCTTTTCTAGTCAGAACATGGACTGTCTTTTAACCCTTTCCTTGTCCTAATGCATAGCTGTTGAGGGACATGTAGGAAATAGGACAGATGGTGAGGCCTGGCTGTGCAGGGCAAAGACAGTCCTGGGTTATGAATTAGCCAGATGGGTATTACCTGTATGATGTAAGGGACAGGCTGTCTACAGCCATGTACCTCTCTGTTCCTCATCCTGTGTTTTTCACACCAAATAGTTTTGCTTTCCTGGGCTGGTGTTTCCTGCAAAGCCCTGCCTCCATCGGTGTCTCCTTTTGCCTGTGGCTGTCCTTACAGCAGAGCCCCTTCACCTGGCTGGCTCTAGGACCCCTGTCTGCACTGAATTACTGTTTTATTATTGATCCAGTTACTTAGCTAGGTCCTTGGTCTGGTTTGCCTTTTGGCTCTGGTGCTGTTGGCCAGAATGGATGGACAGGGGGATACAAAGCTGGTTAGAGCAGTTGTTTCCCTTGAACTACATCTAAGTGCTGACGTGAGAAGTAAAACACAAGGATGGGACCAGTGGCCCTCCTCTTCCCTAAACATCTGCTTTTGGTCACTTTTGGAGTACATAAGAAAGGGAATGTGTACAATGCTTCACTTCCTCCACATACCTCCCCGGCATCTAACCCTGTTCAGCTCAAGGGTTATTCTAGTTTTCTGTCCCTCGCATCACCTGATGCCTCCCCACCAGTGAACTTCCAGGATCCTATGGCAAGGAGTTACACAGCTTGACCAGCAATATGTGAAAAACAGTACATAACTCAGGCTAAACACATCTCGAGGTGTCTGCAGGTGCTTGTTCTGGCTCTGGTGTTCCCAGCATTGTGGGTGCCTGTCTGTGGCTCCCTGAAGACAGAACAAGTGTCCCTTGACCCCTCGCACCGCATCCTGACCACACTCCCATTTTCTAGAAGGCTTTTTGCAGGAAATCAAGTAGGGGAAGTTGCTTGTTTAACTACTGTTGATGAAGTACTGACGTGCTTTTGTGTTGTCTCTTGATCTGATGTTAGTAGTGTAATGTTTTGGAGAGGTCTGAAAGAAAAGAAACAGAAGGTTTGTCCTAACGTAAAAGCTGCCAGTAGTGGTTTCCTAGTCAGAGTAGTTTTGTGATGGCATCTTTCTGAATGCTTAGTGCTCTCACTATGTAGGAATACAGTTACTCCTGGAAGTGAAGATGCAACATCACTCCATCCTCCAGGAGCCAGAGGTGTGATGACAAAGGGAGAAGTCCTCTCCCCTTGGCCCTTCTGAGGGTGGAGGTAAACCTCTGCTCATCTTTCCTTTCAGCCATTTACATGTCTCCTGGGAGGGAATTGCTGTTTGGGGTTATAGACGTGTTCTGGGCTGTGTCAGCTGCTGCACAAGAGAGATCAACACTTTAAAACCCCCATTAAACTGATATAAATCATCATTACCAGGTTTATGGGGACTAAGCAGGCCAGAATCTGATCAAGGCAGTTTTGCAGTCCTGGAAAACTTGTATCCAAATACTGATTTTTTTTTTTAGCAACATAAGACAAATTTGCTCATGCTTCAGGTCAGGAGATGAGCTTGTGGAGAGATTGAGACCAGTAGAAGAGCCAGGATGGGTTGATGTAGGTTTGTGACTTAAATTACCAATTTTAGTCATGTTTAAAATTGAGGAATGGGAACCTTTGATTTAAATCAGATGCCTTAACCTTTGTGTTTGTACTTCTCTACAGAAAGCTTCATTGTCTTTGCCTGTTACAGATCAACGTCTGTGAAAGGTTATAAACGTAGTCTTCATGCTTAAAAAGTGCTTCTTGCTGACTGGCAACTTCTCTGGATCAGTTACTTATTTTTCTTGCTTTTTAATTACAGAGAAAATTGAGACTGGTCTTTTGATTACTTAATGTTTTGCTTATAACCTGCATTAGTTGTCTTTTGCATGAAAAGTAAAATTAGGCTTTAAAATATGCAAACTCACTATTTCATATGCACTTTACTTTATTATGTCCACTTGTGCTGGATGCAGTAGGAATTTTTTTCCAGAGTATTTTGCATTCCAAATTGGCTTACTAAACAGATAAAATATTGCTTTATCTGAGAGGAATTGATTGACTGAAGGATTTAAAATTGTGACATCATAATCAGAAACACAAGTATTTAGCCCTGAACAAAGGCATCAAGTGAAGTATTTATAAAATAATCAGATTAAACAAATCTTCAGAACAAGATGCCTGACTTTCCTTAAAACTGATCTGGTCTTTCTGAGAATCCCACCAAGCATAGATTTACAAGTTCAGAGAAAACACTGTTCAAAATTCTTTAGGTCTCTTCCCATCTGGATTTTATTCTTAAATAAGAAAAACAAGCTGTCCTATTCTTTCAACTCCCTATTGGCTTTTCCATTTTGAATGAATTAGTCTAATTACTGAAGAAAATATTCTCCCTGCACCTGCTAGTTAAATGAAGCCACATGCAGCTACATGAGCTGTCCCACATGGTGGGAGCTGGAACTTCCTTGCTGATGGAAGAAGGAAATCACCAGTACTTTTTCTGTGGCAGAGACAGCACAGCTGAACAGTTGTTACCAGTGGAGGAAGTGACTCTGCTGTTGAGGGTAACCGGGCCCATGGATGGCCAAGGTTCAGGCTGTGTCTGTGTGGCCATAGCATGGTGTTTCTGCCACTGTCTCAGGTTGCTCATCTTGCTCCCATTGCTCACTTTGTCCCTTGGAAATCCCTTTACTTCACTCTCCCAGAGACCTGGATACGAAGCAAATAAAAAGCATTAACGTCTGTGGGAGAAGCTGACCATGGGATGCTCCTCATGGACAGTCTGATGAAGCGAACAGGGAAGTCTGGAAGCTCTCACCCAGAAGTGGCAAGATGGGAAGAGAAGTGGGCAGCTTCCATGGGCTGTGGAGGAAAGGGCCACCAGTGAGGAGCACATTGCCACTAGCAAACATTCGCCTGATCCTGTGTCCTGGAGGGGAAATGGCTGGCTTTGAAACCTCAGGCACCACAGAATTGCGGTGGCTTTTCCTCTGGAAACAGCACTGTGTGTAGTCCTGAAGAGGAGACTGTAGCCTTTGTGGGTTTTAGTACTTGGGGCATTTCAGAGTTTCCAGCAGTTGGACACAGGTACAGACCAGTTCCAGTGCACCCCATAGTGAGGAGCCTGACTTGCAGTAGGTAAAGAGCCCACCCAGTGCCTGGCAGCAGCCAGCGTGTCCCTGCGGTGTGATGTCTCCAGTTCTACCCAGAGCAGGCGAAGGTGGCATGTGGCCCTTGCTCAGCCCTGGGGGTCTCTGCTTGCCCCCTGCCCGGTCAGGCCGCCCGACAGCGGCTGCACAGCGGGACGCCGCGGGACACAGAAGGCCTGTTTGCAGCCGGTGGAGAGGTAGTGAGCTGCTCCGCAGAGACCGCTGGCAATTCTTGACCACATGTGCAGAAGTGTTTGTAGATAGTGCTGCTGCTTGAATGTGGCCTGTCTTGAAAGACAGGAAAAACTACAGCTGGTAGAAAGGAGGCAGCAAATTATTCCTTTGAAAGCCGGCTAGGGGAGTTTCCCTCATGTTGTGGTATGGAGGCTGTTCAGTTGAGACACCTTTGTTTCCTTCCCCTCCAGTGTTTTGTATCCATCCCCTGTCCTTTGCAATTAGGCAGCCTTCTGCTGAAAAATCAGATTCCTTCAGCATGGGAGACCACTTTCCCTTTTCTGTTGCTTGGCCTCTCCTGAAGGGAACTTACCCCACACAGAGCAGGCATGGCTCCATGCTGGCTTGTGTCCCTCTGGGCGCTGGCATGGCGGCGCGACTGCAAATGTGACTCTGGAGGCCCCAGTGCACAGAGCCTCTGCATGGCTCAGGATGGCCCCCTCAGACTGACCACCAGCCTCACTTAGTCTGCATGTGTCCCCTGCAAGAGCTGGGAGGCCAAGGAATAAAAGCTGAAGAGCCCATCTTTGTGAGTGCTTGCAGGCGGTTTTGCAGTATTTGCAGTTTGAGTGCATGAGCCACACTCTGAAAGCAGAAAACATAATATCTGAAATCTTTCACTTGTGCCGGCTGTCATGAATTTGTCCAAGTTTTCAAATAACCTGTGGAATTAAAAACTTCATTAGCTGCTCTTGAGAGCAATCCAAGTTCGCTGATCTTCCATATAGTTGTTTTCCTGGGGCCCCTTTAATTGCCCAGAACTCAGTGCACATCAAAAGCTCTAGCTAACAAATGTCACTGCACAAAACTCAGCAGAAGGGGTGGGTGCAGGGAGCTGGCAACTTTATTTTTAAGTGCTGAAACCTTGCACTTGACTTCTTTGCAGCTTGACAGAGTGCAATATAGTTCCCAGGAGCAAGCGGAGGTGGGGAAAGATCTCACTTATTGCACAACAGATAAATGCAGCAAAGTACAGTAGTAGTGTCTGGGAGGTTTTCTTGCCTACCAGAGTTTGGGGAATGAGGGGTGTATAAGTTGAGGTCTTCTGAGCCTAGAGAGGTGTTGGGAGTGTTTCTGTTCCAACTCTGCTGAGCTTGCACTTGGTGAGTCTCTTAGACTCTCTGCGGCAGGCAAAAAATACCTTCTTTACTAAGAAGTGACTGGGTTTTATTTCTGAGTTTTTGACAAGCAAATCCCTCTTGTTCTTAGTCAGCCTTCAGGTACTTGTAACAACTACTCTGTAGAGTGTGTGTCTCGGCTTGAAGAGTGTAACAAGGTACAGCTGAGCTAGCAGTACAGCTTTGCTCTGCCGTCTCTAGGCTCCCTCTTCACGTGTGTGGTCCCTGGATTTGGCCTCCTTTGTCCTCTAGCTATGCAGCCATCTAGCAGCAGCTGCGTGTAGCATCACAGTCATGAGGATTCTATAAAGCCGTTGGCACTCCTTTGGGTTTTTCAGAACCAGTTTTGATAAAGGAGTGCTGCAGGACTTGGGAGAGGGGGGTGCTGAGGGTGAGCCCCAACACAGCTGCAGGAAGTGTGAGGCACTATGGAGCATTAGCACGGAGCAGGCTCAGCACAGCCCCAGGAAGTGCAGAGTCCTCCCCAGCTCAGCCTGGGGCAGACCTCGGGGCACACACGGACAGGGAGGCTGACCCAACGAAGGGACACGAAGGGACACGTTCAGCCCTTCCTCACCAGGCGTGAAGCAGGCAGGGAGGAAAGAGCTGTTACTCTGCGAGTGAAGGAAGGACTTTGGTCTCATGATTCAATAGAGCGAGTTGTCTTGTGCTCCAGTGTGAGCTGAGGAAGTGTGTGTGTGTGTGGGATAAAATCAAGAAGGCTCCAAGACCTCTTATTGCTTCTGTGCTTGTGCAGATGTTCTCCTCAGCCACGGCAAGCCCCCGGGACAGCACCGCAGTCAGAGCCGCGCAGCACGTTGTTCAAGCTGTCATTCTGATGCTAGTCTTGCACTGGCTCACCTCACCTGAGACCCTGTGGCTGGGAGGATCAGTCAGGTAGAGGATATAGAGTGGTAGCACTAACAAGGTTTCCAAAAAGGACCCTCCCTTCTCCCTCCTTGTCTTGGGCTAGTGGCCAGTGACTAGACTCCCTGAGATTAGCGTGTGCGTAATGACTGTCTTGCTCAGTGGCTATGCTAATCTCTGTGTGCTGGCAAGTCAGCCAGAGTTGAGAGGGACTAACGTGGGTGTCATTAAATGTGTTCCAGGCCCACTTGCCATTTGCAGTGATCGGGAGCACGGAGGAGCTGAAAATAGGAAACAAAATGATGAAAGCTCGTCAGTACCCCTGGGGCACAGTGCAGGGTGAGTTGAGCCCTGGGATTTTCATGGAGTGAGTGGTGGCACTTCTGCCACGAGGCAGTGGACTCTCATAAGAGGAGTAAGGGCCTGCTGGACGTTAGTATCTCACTGGGAATTATCATTTGTTAAATCCTTGTGTCATCAGGCCTACAGTGACAGTTTTCTCTGCTCGGAAGGTCTGTTAAGCCTGCTGGAGGACTAGACAGGTGGGGAATGTGGGAAGAGACCTTTGTTTCTGCCCTCATCTTACTCCTTATCATGTCTTCTTACAGTGGAGAATGAAGCTCACTGTGACTTTGTGAAGCTGCGGGAGATGTTGATCCGTGTGAACATGGAAGACCTTCGCGAACAGACCCACACGCGCCACTATGAGCTGTACCGGCGATGTAAACTGGAAGAGATGGGTTTCAAGGACACTGATCCAGACAGCAAACCCTTCAGGTGGGATCCCTGGAGGAGACAGGAAGGCTCAAGGGAGGCATTGTTGGATGCACTGCACGCGTGTGTGTATGTGTGTGTCCTCAAGAGAGCATGTAAAGAACCAATGCAGCAAGAAAACCCGCCAGGTTAGATAAATCCAGACTTCAGCAAAGGTGCTGGCTGAGTGAGAGAAGGTAAAAACACAGACAGTGTGTGCAGGATTGACTGTGAAACTGCAAGTATAGGAGTAGAAATGTTTGTGCTGCAGAGATGCAGCAGTGTCGCTGTGAAATAGTGTGTGTTGCCGGTTGGCCTCTTTGAATTGCCCAACACTCAACATACAGAAAAGTGCAATAGCTTACAGACCCCAAAAACGGTTGGATAAAGAAGACCCTGGGCACGTGTGGGTGGGTAAGTAGCAAATGTGCTGCCGGCAAGCAGTATTCATGGTGAGGGCCTGATTTCGGAGGTTCAAGGGAAGCAGAGTTTATTTCAAGTCAAATCACTGGACTTTCCTTTCTTTTTAGCTTACAAGAAACTTATGAAGCAAAAAGAAATGAGTTTCTAGGGGAATTGCAGAAAAAAGAAGAGGCCATGAGGCAAATGTTTGTCCAGAGGGTCAAGGAAAAAGAAGCGGAGCTGAAGGAGGCTGAAAAAGAGGTGAAGACTGCGGTACTTGTCTCTTCATGGTTGTGAGTGATAGATCCACTCCTGAGTAGGTAGCTGCTGCCAAAGCACTTTCTGCAGAGTGTGGTTTAGGACTTTCTTATCAAGAAGTCTAAATTTTACTTGAGGTCCTGGGGACATTAAGGTGTTCATCCTGTAGGACAAAACTAGATCACAGTGCCTGTAGTATACAACTTACTGCACCATGAAAGTGCCATAGTCTTGATTCTGATGAAGGGTTGCAGTGTGGCAAAATTCAAGAGGAGAAATAGCCCCTGATATAAGCTTTTTTATATAAAAAATATACCCCTACAACTCCCTTAGCATTGTGAAAAATCCATTAATATACTGACCTTTAAAGAGGAATAAGGCAGAGACCCCTGGAAGTGGATTAAAATTTTTTTATGATTATACTTTCCCAATCCTCTATTGTTAATCTGTGCAATAGTGCATCACTAGAACACTGCCTGGTTTGTAAGCTCCTGTGGAAGGAGATTGTTCCCTGCACTCGTCTACGCAGTGTCAGCTCAGGGGTCTGGAAGTGATGTAGAAACCAACAGAAACTTGCAGGCTCAGATCTCATGGGATGCTTCCATCTTTCTCTTTTCCTGTGAACAGAATATCTGGTAGTGCTGGGTCCTGCTCACCTTTCTCCTTTCCCTCTAGCTGCATGAAAAGTTTGATCGCTTAAAGAAGTTACATCAGGATGAAAAAAAGAAGCTAGAGGATAAGAAGAAGTCTCTGGATGATGAAGTAAATGCATTTAAACAAAGGAAGACAGCAGCTGAACTGCTCCAGTCTCAGGCTCAGCAGGCTGGAGGATCGCAAACTCTTAAAAGAGATAAGGAAAGAAAAAAGTAAGTTGCTAACCCAGTGGTATTTGCTTTTTGGTAATGGTTCTCCTTTACTGTTTTTCTGGGTGTTCATATCTCTCTTTCAACCTAGCCAGTCCTTATCAAGGGAAGGTTTTCAGCCAGTTTTAATCCCTAGTAAGGCTGAGCAGTATCTGGAAGCATTTTACCTTTAGCTGTCATCCTGAAGAGCAGGTAGTGGTGCTAACCTCCCTCATTGCTTCCTGACAGCATGGGAGAGGATGAACTTTTTTTTATTCACCAAGATTCTGTGCTCCTCCCTTGGTTTGTCAGTACTTGTAATGAAGCAGAACAGTATTGGCTGCCAAGGCTAGGGTGTGGGTAGCAGGCATGTCTCAGTACCCCCAGAGAGAAGCGTGTCCTGTCACAGGGTCTTAAGTGTTTGGGTTGGCAAAGAGCTTATACTGTGGAAATAATTCAGGGAGACTAATAGTTTTGAATTCTGGAACCTGCAAAATGTAAGGCTGCAAAATGAGAGGACAGGTCATAGCTCCTTGTTAGTGCTAGTACTTCTCTCCAGGCCTAGATCAGCTTTTTGCCTTCCACAAGAACAGTGAGAGATACTCCATGGCTTCAGCAGGAGTCCCCCATCCCAGGGACTGGTGTGACAGGATCCAGCCCCTCCTCAGGGTCCTGTGATCTGTGCCATCTGCCAGGCTCCTAATGCTCTGCAGTTGCTCAAGAGGATCCATATGTACAGCTGAAACAGTCCTTCCTGTTCACCTAGCAATGAGCAGTTCCTTCTCTTCTCAGTGTGGTACATTTCCCAAAACAGAGTGCTGTGCCACCTTAGCCTATGTACAAAGTGTGGTGCACAGATAAAGAAGGGTCTGGTTTCTATACCACTGCCATAATCCCCTCTCTGCACATCCCTGGGGCAAATCCAGAGTAAATCTTGCCTGCACTATACAGTCTTAAATACATGGAAAAGTGGTGTTAATATAAACAATATGGTATGTGCCCAAAGAGCTGACAGGAGAGTTTGTCAGAGAAAATAGCCCTTGACTGTTAAGCTCAGAGTCAAATGAGACAGGAGAGGAAAAACCCAATAAGTAGAACAAGATCCTGATTTAGTCTTTTTAGTGTTGAGCTGGAGCTGCTTCAATGTCAACATTCTTTTGCGATGAGCAACTAGTGCTGCCCTTTCCTCACTTGTCCGTTCCTTTTTCCACTGCATATTTTTATTTGCTCTTTTGAATTACCTTCAGTGGGTTTTAATATATTTACATACTGAAGAGACAGACTGACTAGGGACAGACTTCTCTCCCCAGCCTGGACTGTGAGGAATACACAGCTGAGTTCTTTCATGCGTAGAGCCCTCAGACATCTGCACATTGAGGACTGCAGACTTCAGCCCTGAGATCAATCGGGGTCAAGAATGCAGAAAAGGGGGACAACATGCTCTGTAGTGTGAGCAATTAGTTGCTGTGGCCCAAGTCACACTCTTGTTTCTAGAAGCAGTTCTGACTTCAAAAGAGCTCCTTGACACCAAGCACATTCATGTGGAAAAGCATTGGTACTGTCTTTGACAGTTAAGGACACAGAAAGGCACAGGAAACACCATGAAAGAAATAGGTCAGTGCTTGAGTAAGGCTTGGGAAGGTGTTAGGAGGCCTCTCTCTCCTCCAGGAAAATAGCTGTGTTAGAAATGGTGCTGCTTTCTTTACTCTGTAACTTCTCCAATTGTCATTAATAATTAATTTCCATATTTAGATCATAAATATCTCTAACAATCCATGAATTTCACAAGCTGTAGCTTAATTGTATCGTGTTTAGTAGTGGCTGACAGTACACTAGCCTTTTTCTTTCACAGGTGACTCTCTTAAACACGAGCTTTGTAATTTGCACTAATCATGACTTGGTTTCTGTTGTGTTTTTTTTTTCTTTTTTTTTTTTTTTTTTGTTACCTCATTGTCATCATTATTAGCTCTTAAATGTATGCTGTTTTACAGTTAGCTGCTGTTTGGCTGCATGGTGCATGAGGCATATTGTCCTGGTAAGCGTCCTTAACTAATACAGACCTCACAGTGGGATCAGTTACAGTTTCTAAAAAAGCAGACCCTGTGCAAGTCCAGAAGCCTCTAAGTATTATCGCTGTCTTCCTCTGCTTTCACACTTGCTATACATCCTCTACCAGTCTCTCTCTACATATGCAGATGTAGAAAAAGGATGCAATTAAGTTTGTGTTTAAAGATTCTGCGAAGTAAAATGCAGAGAGACTTGGTATTAGGACATGACATGTAGAGAAATAAGGATTAGGTCTTGTTCCTTTTAAACCTTCCCAGCACTTTGTTGGCTCCGTTTTCTTTATTCCATCTCCCTTAGAAATACATTTTTTAACCATGTGGGCCATGTTGATACTATGGCAACAATTGCTATGGAGATGTGGTGCTGATGATGGAACCCAGCTAGCCATGAAAATGTCTTTTCCCTTTCTCTTCCTTTCCTCCCACCCCTCCAAGTTGTAGTGTTAACTTGTGGTTACAGTGCAGGTGAAGATGGATGCAAGACTAGTTTCTATCCTCCCCTTCACATACTAACAGATGGTAAAATCTGCCAAACCTAGAGCTTTCCTTTGTCCCAAAGCACCAGAGAATCACCAGACTGTTCATGTGTACGAGTGTGTGTGTATGTATGAGGGGGCATTAGAGAAGCTACTGCTGAGTAACCAAACCAATATTCACCTGCTGATTGATGATGGTGGATTGTCCAAAACCACAAGAGATAACGGGCTGAGCATTTAGCAGATAATGAAGGCTCTGAAGATAGACTGAGAGACTTTATGACATTTTAAAAATTCAGATGTGTCACCCATGGATTGGGTGTTCAGCTGTAGCAGAGAGACAGACATCCACGCTTCTGGGAGCCGTGCCAAGTGTGCCCACGGTAAGGGTGAGGCTAGTGGTAGAAGAGGACTGTATTCAAGATGTGTCCAGAAAGCCTGCCAGAGCACTTTACCCCTGAATAACGCCAGCATCTGAGTTTCCAAGGAGTTTTGCCAAGGTGTGGAGTTTCCCACTGGAGCAGAGCCCCATCAGTGATGTTATGCTCTGAGTCTGCTCTGCTCCTGTTGCCGTGACTCTGTCCAGAGTGCCTCTGCCTTCATGTGAACAGGGATGTAAGGTGGCCACATAGTCATGGGCAGGCTTGTGGAACAGATAAAGTTGCCTGAAAGAGTTAACAAACGCGGCCATAATCAAGTGTCTGCAGTGTGAAGTGCCAGCATCTATTGTAAAATGAAGGCTTGTTTAAACAAAGCTGTGTAAGAAATGCACCTGCCTGGCCAGAGAGCAGCATCCTCATTAAGGTTATTATTTAAACTCCTAATGACAGTGGTCTATTCATAGCTAGGTTGAGTGTGTTTAATTGAGCCTTTTTAATTTGCTGTTGATTCTCTGGTGAGAGAAAAAAGCAAGCTCTCACAGGAATGTCTTGTTTCTTGACAGAGCAGCAATACTTATTATCCAAGGCAAGTGTGACAGCACCCCAGGCTGAGGTGCACAGGCCTCTCAGAGAATGGACCTGTCAGAACAGTACCACCTAACTATAAATCACCCTAAAAACTCAGCCTCAAGTCCACCCTTCCCTGCAGACAAAACTAGGATTTACATTCTCTCCAGGATACAGTCCAAACTAACTTACGGTCTGCCCTTAAATAGGGAACAGTTGATTCCAGGATTCCTTCCCTCTTAGCTCCACCAAGGGAAATGGAAAAGCAAGTAAACGTTATGCTGCCAGTGAAAGGCATTTGAATTTAATTTCAATGGGATGTTCCACTTAACAGAAGAGCTTCAGAAGGGTCTTGCACTGACTCGAACTGCAGCTTGCAGTGGTCTTGAGCAGTCCAGTTGAATGAATATCTCTGCTGCCAGTGGTAACTGTAAAACAATGACAAGAACAATTCTCTGCTTATCAGGCTCTGAATGTGGAAAAATAAGCTCAAAGAATAACAGTGTTCATTCTGGTGCTGAGTACGAAGGCACGGCTAAAGTGCAGTTAGAGTGAGCATTACTGATTTTTGTTGGTTTTGGATTGCTTTTGGCAGTCCTCATAACTGTACACTGTTGTGTGCTGGGCTTTGAATCAAATGAAGTTCTTTGTTCCCACTATACAAATGCAGACAGTGCCTTTTTCAATGGGCATTTGTCCTTGCTAAATTAAATATGTATATATGGTACTTTTCCAGAATTCAGAAGAATACTCTCCATATTGATCCATAAAGTATTGCAGGGCTCTACTGTTTTGCAAGGATACAAACAAGTCACAGTTGGCGAGCTCTGTAGCTTGCAAAACTGTGAAAGGATTGTTGTAGAAAATAAATTTGGTTCATCCCACTGCTGAGTGTGTGTGTGTATGCATGTGTGTGTCTGCATAAAGCATGTTTTGTAATCAAATTAAACCTTATTAACACTTAGCAACATTTTGTGTGTGTGTGTGTGTGTGTGTTAGGAAACATTTATATTCTTATTTTGGTTTTTTGTCATTAATCCATAAAACCATTAATCTGCCTTTTTCTTTCATTTTCAGTTCGGGTTTCCTGTAGAACCTTTCCCTTCACACCAGAAGCGAATGCCCCCACATTCGGTTAACACGCAGCTATGCCATTGTGCCTGTTTGCTCACCTTTACTCATTGCTCCCTTCCTGCGCTCACCGTTTTGTTTTAAGCAAGAGTCCGCACCCCTGGCTGTTCTGGGTTATGGTTGTTCTTGTGAAGAACTCAGCAATAGCCTACGTGGAACTGGCAAGAGATGCTCATTGCCGATACCTCTTCCCCTTTGGGCAGTAGCAGGCTGCCGAGCGCTCGCCGGGCTAGCGTCCCCTCTTCTCGGTTGCTCATCTTTTTGTCTCTCCCTCCATTTTGTGCGAGGGCTGCATGGTCAGAGCGTGCAGCTGCTTGGTGTTGTGCATTTAGCCCCTGTCGTGGGACCGCTGTGAATGCAACCCGATGCTGCTGGGGGGTGGGACGTGCTGTGTCAAGAGACTGGCTGCCCTCTCCCCTTTTTAATTTGCTGTATCTAACCCCTCGTTACCCGCCGCCCCTGTGCTGCCGTGTGTGACTCAAATAAGTTTAAAGGACTTTTTGCAAAACTTGGCATCCTCACAAGCGTGGGCCTGAGTCCAGACCTCTAGTCCCCAGGCTCAGGGGATTCTCAAACTTGGATCCACGGTTTGCAACTAAGTATTCTCTGAATGCTGCAGGGGTCACGAAGGATCTCTTGCCTTGTCTCCCTCTCAGTGTGCTGGCCTGGATGCACATCCTGGATCCAATCTCAGGGAAAGCTGGTCACCTTGCTGTACATATCAGTGTTTGTGAAGAAAGATGATGATGTTTCTTTGACTTTCTTCTCAGTGATTCCAACGATTTTTGGTTTTAATGCAAAAAGTATTACCTTTATTTTTTTTTATTTGGCATCTGTTTAGAAGTCTACAGATGCTGGCAGGTTGCTTCTTATATTTTCTATTCAGCAAAAGCCTTGTTTTACAGCAAGATTTGCACTAAAAAGGAGGGTGTTTTGCTCACTGGGGCCAGGAGTTCACTCTGGCCAAGTGCAACTGTGGTTTGCCCACAGGTGTCTTCTCTGTGTATTTCTGGATGAGTTTTGTTTTTAAATAAAGACTTCATCAGACAGTGAATTCTGGTTAACATTTACTTCGTTTTTTGTTTTCTTTGCCCTTCTTTTACAGTAACCCATGGCTCTGTACTGAGTAATTACCCCTGAATACAGTGGGCTGGAATGGACCTTCATTTACTTGTTAAATCGGAGGGTCTAAAAAAACGTGACAGCATTTCAGCTGTGACCTTTCCATGGTTTTACCCTTGCTCTCTCCTATATCCTAATTGTGATTCTGTCTTTACTATGTACTGGTGGTTATTGCTTTTATTAAACAATGTAAAATTAGTCCTGACAAGGTTTTGGATGCTGCAACTTTAAATCCTACAATCTTTCTTTTTTTTTTTTTTTCTTTTTTTTTTTCTTTTTTTTTTCTTTTTTTTTTTCTTTTTTTTTTTCTTTTTTTTTCCCCACACAATTAATGGATTCCCCTTTCTCCTGGTCCCTCTCCACCCAGATAAATAAGGGATGTGGAAATAAGTTCTGTGAGTTATTTTTGCTGGCAAAATAACAATGCAGTTTAAATGTATTTATTGGTGACGTTAAAATGACACCACCACCTTAGTTTAATTATCACACAGTTGAGAGTTAAAAAAGCTCTTTTCTCTTTATACTTGGTGTCATTTTCATGACATCATCTATCTTTTTTTGTTTGCTTTTATTTTTTCTTTTGCTAATTCATGCTACCTGAAAACTAGCATGCAATGCTCATTTCCATTTTGGCCTTGCTTGTTGTGACGCTGGTCCTTCAGTCGCCCTGTGTGCACACTGAGGTCTCTGTATGTGGGTGAATCCACACGTCCTGACCCTGCTGAAAGATCAGGATGCATGCTGACAAATAGTTTCAACAAAAACCCTTCAAATTGTGGATTTTTGGAAGATAAGCACACCTCGGACCCTAGCTGTGATAGCTAATGCTGTTTTTTTAGTGCAAGCTGCTGCTGAGAATTTTACCCGAAAGGTAGTCTGGATGATGCTAAAGCCTCACAAAGAGTTTCTGCATAAAACGTTAGTCTGGCCAGCTGCTCACGGCAGCAGCAAACCTTATGCAGTAACCCAGATCAGATGACTGTCTGGCCTGTTTCCAGCAGTCAAGGCAGTTAAAACTCTTGATTGCAATGTATTTTCTCAGGTATATTTGTTTCTTCATAAATACAATTTTATTTCCCATAAAAGTCTTTGATTTCTGGTTGGTTTTCTTTTTCTTTTTAAAGCAAGTTAAAATATTTTGAGTATTTACTTCCTCCTCTACTGTCGAATGTCGGCCTGCTCCCAAAACCAGTCAACATCAGTCTGTCAATGATTTCTAGATTATCAGCTAAAAGAGCCATTTAATGTGGCTTTTTTTTTTTTTTTACCATACAGCAGGTCACTGGCTGTTCTTCCTGACCATTTGCCTTATTAGAATGTTATTTAAAGTTATGCAAACTTTTTATTTAAAGACTTTAAAGAAAAAACATTGTTACTTGTGTCATTTCCTTGAAGTACTTGAGGTACCACAAGGTTCCATCTCTTCTCTGTTGGCTGTTTTCATGTTGCATCTCTTTTTCCTGCTTTTTGAATGTCTTTCTCTTTTTTGCTAATCTTCTGGTTTTTATCTCTTTTTTCCCTTTTCTCTCTCTGTAGCTTTTTTTAATCTGTCTTCGCCAGCTGCACTGGGTCTGAGGAGAAGACTGCCACTTCTAGAAGAGTTTAAGGGTCTTATGTCTGGGGAGGGGGGGAACAAATCTTCAGTGTTAGTGTCTGGGAAAGAAGCTCTTTTACTGACTTGCATGGTATCTAAAATTGAAGTGTCTTGTAATTTGTGTGACAAGACAGGGTAATGCGGGCAAACTGTTTACTTGGAATTTTGAAGAGCAACAGAAATGTGGTGTTTGGACTAATGATGTAGCGAATACATTTTCAAACATTGTTATGGGCATATTTTTTTTCTAATTTTGTCTTTATTAATATAAATGTCACGGGCTTCCATGGGGTGTGAAGCCTAAGGAATATTTTCAATAAGCTGTTGTCTGGGTTTGGAAACTGTGCAGAGTAAAAGGAAACATAAACATGGTGCAATTTGCTCTGTTGGCAGCCACAAAATATTTAACAAAGAAATAAAGTAAGAAGAACTGTGTGTTTTCATTGGTGTCCTCCTGTGTCTCCCCACCTTATTAAATAAGCTCCAGTGGCTGGTAGACGTGGGTCGAGTGGTACTGTTTTTTTTTTTTCTTCCCTACCTAAACCTCATCTTGTTCTTTAAAGTTAGAAAAAAATTAGCAGTATTAGAAGGGAGAGGCGATGCTGACAGCTGGTATAATAATAGCGATCCATCCCAGTGCCCCGTGAGCAGGGGGCCGTGTCCCCAGGGCGTGTTGGAGCCAGCCCTCACACTTCCCACTCCTCCCTCCTGCCCTGGGTTGCTCACCGCATGCTTTTCCGAGCTGCGATCTTCTCTTCCCCCTCCTGGTTTTGTTTCCTTTTTACAAGTGCAAGCGCGCGAGAACCGCACCGAGTTATATATATATATTTACACGAGACACACTGAAGAACCAGCACTGTTTAGGCTGATACCTTTCTAACTTTAATGTAAATTTTAAATAAAAAATACGAAAGCCTGCGTGCGTGCTGTCGTGCTTGCTGCTCCTGCGTCCGGCCCGCGGCCGAAGGAGCCGGTGCAACGGGGCGAGCTCTGCTCCGGTCAGCCGGGGGCTGGGGCTGCTGTGTCGAAGGGCTTCGGATGGTCACTGGAAATAAAAACAACCCGCGCGTTCAGGGCGGGTGCGCGGTTCTGATGGCGATTTCCCGCCCTCTGGGGCTAAAGCGTCCCCTCCCGGCGCTACCACCACCCGCCGAGAGCCCCCGCCCCGGTAACCGCGGCTCGGCACCGGGCGCTACGCTGCCTCTTTCCCGCCAGCGTCCGGGGGGGGGCTCGGCCTGGGGCGAGCCCCGCGGGGAGACCCCTTGGTGAGGCGGGGGAAAGGCCTCGGCCGCCTCCAACCCAGCGTCGGGCGGGGAGGAGCTGCGGGGGCCGCACCTAGCGCCGGGCTCAGGGCAGGCCGGGGGTCGGCCGTCCCCGCCGCCGTCCCCGGAGGCCACGGCCGCGGCTCCGGCACCGCCGCCGCCCGGCGGGCTGCGCCCCAGCCCCCGCCCCGCCCCGCCCCGCCCCGCTCAAGCCCCGCCCCGCCTCAGGCCGCGCCCCGGGCCCCGCCCATGGCCGCCGCCAGGGGGCGCGAGGGAGCCGAGGCAGCTGGCCGGCCGCTTCTCGCGGCGTCTCGCGCGCTCGTGACGAGAGGCCACGTGACGCGGCGCCGGCCGGGGCGCTCCGCGCGACTGAGGGGAGAGCTCGCGCTGCACCGGCACCGGCGGGAGCACGGCGGGTCGGGTCCGGGGCCGGGACCGGGGCCGGGTCGGGGAGCGGGGCTGAGGCCGGGCCGGGCCGGGCCGTGCCGGCGCTCCCCGGCGGCCCACAGCGAGCCGCGGCCTGGTCCGCACGTGGGGCCTGGTCCCCTCCGGTACACCCGGGCCGCTTCCGCCGCCGTGCGCGCCTGTGCCCGGCGGCTCAGCCCCCACCGGCCGGGACGGCCCCTGGGCGTCGCAGGATTGCCCGTCGCCCGCCATGCCGCCGCCGGAGCCGGAGCGGGTGCCCGAGTCGGTGCTGGAGCAGTGGCGGCAGTACAACGAGACCGAGCGGCAATGGGGGCTGCGCCGCCGCTTCATCCTCCGCCACCTCCACGGCTACCCCGGCGCCGCCATCGACCAGCTCCTCTCGCTCTCCGTCCTCTGGACCAACCACGTCTTCATGGGCTGCAGGTGAGGCCCGGCAGGACACCCGCAGCACCGGGCAGCCGTGCTGGGGCGGGGAAGGCCCCGCCGCGGGCCCCGGGCACTCGGCCCCGCTGGCTGCCGGAGCCCGGCGCTGGCTGCCGGGCGAGGGCCGCGGCCTGTCAGCCGGGTGCAGGAGGAGAAAGTCGCTCCGGCTCCCTCCGGCCGCTCCTCCCGGCCGCCCCGTTCCCTGGGGCTCCCGGCCCGGTGCCGCTCGGCTGAGCCTCGGCCGCGACTACCTTTTAAAAAGTAACCCCAAAAGATCCGGAATGGAAGGGACCAGTGCGAGAGAACTTCGGTCCCTGGGCGGGTTTTTTTGATCGAATGTGCAGGTATGCGGAGGGGAGCAAGGAACTGGAAAAGTATATATGTGTTTTGAAAGTAGTTTTTGATGTACCACCCCCGAGGACTTGTTAAGCCTGTGTCATTGTGCTTTGTAATTTAACTGAGAAGTATTCCTCTAAGGATAAACCAGCCCATGCAATCTCCTTAAAGCTCCGTTTTTCAGAAAGAAGTAGGCCTGGTGAGTGGAAGAGGTTTCCCTTCATCAGGATTACTGTTAATATGCAGAAACCACTGTACTGTAATTAGTAAGGTTGTGGAGAACTGTGGAAACGTCTCACCCACGTCCTGACTGACACTTCTGATGTTGTGATTATTTTTAACTGGACGCAAGGCTTTAAAGACAGAAGCAACTGCTTAACGACTAACTTCAGCAAATTGTGCAGTGACAGAGGAGCTTGTAAACACCAAGTGGCATATAGTTAGACTTCTATTAATGTTACTATCCCAAAGCCTTGTTGGGGAATATTTTGTGTCATTTGTACAGCATCAAGTCAACATCTTTAAATGTAGATCTGCATTGTTTCTTATTTCTTTCTGGTCCAAGTACTAAACTGTTCTCTGCAAGTACCAGCATTGAACATAGTTTTAAAACAGCTTCAAATTCCAAGCTTGAGAAACATGTTAAAATTGAGCATATCTTTTTAAGATAGAATCTTTTTAGTCCATTAGCTCATCTTAATGTGTTTATGTGCTGTCTTAATGGAGGGCCTTCTTTGTGATAGTGCTTTTGGGAATCAATGCAACAATACGGGGTGCTGATAACAGAAGTGAAAAACTATGTGGCAAGATCTCAAATCGTAAAAAATTACGCAGTTTAAGCCTGTTAATGCACATACTTTCCCTGTTGAACATCTCTACCTGCAACATTCAGGGAAGACATGAGCAATAGATTTAGGCATGATGCTGTGCGGAGCCATTATCACTGAGGATGTTTCCCTAAAGCTTGTGTTGTGCACGGACATGAAGACACTGCAGGGGCACGGTGAACACGCTGCGCTGATGAAGAGCATTTGGCACCTTTACTTGGAGTTGTCTGGGGAAGGGAGGGGATCCATAGCTTTCTCTGGAACTGCCTTTTGCTGCTTGGGAAGAGCTGTTGTTGCTGTATCAAGTGAATAACTTCAAAGTTTAGGGGATTTTTGTTTTTTTCTCTAAAGTTTGTTGGTTGGATTCAGGTTGGGGTTTTTTGTTTGGCTGGTTTTTTGGGGGGTTGGTTTTGTTTTGTTTTTTTAACATCGATCACTTGCTAGCTGAAGACAACCTGTTAGTCAGAGTAATTACAAATCCCAGTCTTTGCTGATGAAATCCGAGGGAGTGTTCTGCTGGGGGACGATCTGGAAAATGTCCAGAAGGCTTAGAAAACATGGTCTGTGAGGAAGCGGTTAAGCAACAGGGTTCATTTAGTCTAGAGGTGGATAAGAGAAGATGCATGTGTTCTCAGATATGTTAAAGATGGCTGCAAAATGGAGGACGGGGGGGAAGCGTTATGCTCCAGAGCTACTGGGGTCAGGATAAGAGGTAATGTATTTGTCATGCCAGAGAGTCTTTGGTTAGGTCTTGGAGGCCTGGGATTCCTCTGCCTCCATATATAGTCTTCACAACTTGAGATTTCTAAGGCCAGGTTTGACAAACACGTTGGGACTGGCTGGTCTTCTCCTGGGCAGAAATATGAGCCCCAAACATCTCCATCCTTTGTGAAGAAGAGTGATGCGCACGTGTCAAATCTAACACTGTTTTTGCACCCTGCTGTAAAAGGGCATTGTCCATGTTGCCATCACAGAGAGCGTATTCTCCCTGTAAGAGAGGTGTGTGGGGGTGTGTTTTTGGTAGATCTAACTTCTGCCTGGCCCTCTGCATCAGGACCAGGAAAGGCATTTCTTGAGTGGAGAGTGAGTAGATTTCCAGAGCCCTCAGAACAGTAGTATTTAAAAGCTGGTGCAAATTACTGGGATGGCCGTGGACTCTGTCCATGGGCAGTGACCTGATGCTTTTTGACCTTTGCAGGTGAGGACACCATGGAACAGGTGCAAGACTGCCTTTTCTCCTTTCTGAACCACAGTGCAAAGCTGTCAGAGTCTAATTTCAGGCCATGTTTGTAGGTTCTCCTTGGTTAGAAAGGTTTGGGATTTTTTTCTTGTTCAGCTTCAGCGTACAGATGGCTTTAAAACATGTGACAGATCCCCAGAGCAATGGAAAACTTAGCTGGTCAGGGATCTGAAGCCAAGAGGAATGGGGTTGTACAGTGCGTGTGGAACTGCGAGCGTGCTGCAGCAGGGTCAGGGTTTGCACAGAGCTGGTTGCAGCCACGTCACTGCTGTCGTGGCTCAGGGATTCAAATTGTTTCAGTTACAGCTACCAAGCTAGAAATTAGTATGGCTTTTTACAGAGCGGTCGATAAGGGCTGAGCAGTGCCTTTGTCATCTGACAGCCCCAATTTCAGTATTGGTGACGTGCAGTCTGTGGCTGCTGACCCAGACAAGACTTCAGTGCCAGTCAGTTGCTCCTGTGCCTAGGTCGCTGAAGCTGTGATGCCCACGGGGACTCGTCCTTCTCCACACCCCTGGGTTCCTTAGTGTTCCTAGTAGCTCTGCCAGATGTTATATTTAGACAGATCATGTATTTACATTTAAGTTTAAGGCACTGTCCATTTGGTGGCTGCACAGTTTGTTATTCACAAGTAGGTTCACTTAGCCAGGTGTTAGCACTGAGCTAGCTACGGCACGGGGCTGCTGGTAAGGTCCTGTGTTAATACTCCAGCAAAATCAGGGGGAGCGTCTCCTGTGCACCAGGTACTATGTCTTAGGCTGCTTTAGTTCTGGTTTTGCTTAATAAAAGCTTGTGTGTGCATGTGTGTGTGTTGCCCCTGTGGTACCAATTCTAAAGGGGTTTGCTGTTGAACCCACACAGATACGGCTTGCAGGTCATGGAGAAGGTACTCAAGATGGCTGAAGGCATCGATATCGGTGAAATGAGGA